GTTTCAACTACTTTTCTATGTATATATACTAGCTATATATTCACATATGACTGTTAACTATAGTTATATTAAGTGAGATACATCAAATGTGTAGAAACGCACACCTCCAAAACTCTGCCCCAAAATATCGTAACTGTGCTTGCTCACTAGTGACTAGCTTCGTGAGGAAATTCTCGGAGTTCTAGTTGAGAAGACGTGACCAGTGGAGGAGTTCAACCCTGTCGGGTGTAGGCAGTAACTACCAAAGACAAATGGGTGAGGTCGCGTTTGCCTACAATGCCGAAGGTCCAGGGTTCGAATCCTGCGAGGAGCAGGAGCAGGAGTCTTGGATGTGCACTGCTGATGAGTCTCATACGAGGGAGAAACGGCCGTCCAATGCTTCTAGGTTTCTAATGGTGGTCTAACAATGATTGATTGATGATTTCAAATGTGTAGATACATTAACGTCAGTGTTCTATTCTTAGATAGAATTAGGTAAATATGAATGAGTTATAGAACATTACTGTTTGTCATTTTCGTTGACTAACCGAACTAACTACCTTAGGTACACAAATAGCACTAAAAAGAAAGTAAATCATGTCAATTTGAAACTACTCACTATGGTGATCTGATCATTTTATAATAATGTTGTGGTGCTGTGGTGCGAACTACTTATAAGTAGTATATGACGTGAGCGTCAACGTAATGTCTGGCAGCAGAAGATGGGGCAAGATCAAGAAAACAAAAGAGTTAGAACACAATGGAATTTGTATGAAACGCATGAATAGTAGTGATAATGGATTGATGTTTTGCAACAGGAACAGTCCAGTTCGATATGATGAACTGATATTTTGCAAATTAACGATTCACGATATGGTTTTCCTATTTTACTGAGTAACTCTGTAATTTTCGTTCATAGGATATTATGTTTTCTTTTCTCTATGTGTAGTCCAGAGTATCACGTTTTATTGTCAAATTGATTGACAACCTTGTTTGTATCCTTGAATATCTCCTCTTTCAATATCTTTCCAATATCTTTTTCACGAGCTAGTGTAAACCAATTTGATTTCTTCGCGCTCGATTCTTGTTCTTTCTCTATGGTTCCAGGTGTTCGGTAATGTCCAATGGATGGAGGTCTAGCCACTCGACTGTCTAATTCTTGTCATTTGGCAGTTGGTTGTGAGGTTGTATGTCTCAGGATTTGAATGAAAACGTTTGTTTCAGGGCAATAGGGTTTCTGGATACTAGCAGCCGTCACATTACCAGACCGGAGATCAGTTAGTTGCAATGTGGAGAGTAATAAGGGTAATAAGGCTAAAATTCTAATGATAACATGAATAAAATTTCAGAACTGAGTAATATATAGATGAATTTAGTTTGTTAATTGGTAGTGAGGATTGTGAGAGAGGACCGAAGTGTAAGCAAGGTAGAGGAAACAGAGATAATAAGCGAGATAGATTAATTGAGTGATCTGAGGAGATGGCAATGAGAACAACTAGCAGGTCTCAAGATATGCATCATGAACAGCTTGTCCAAGTGGGAGATGATAGTCCGTATGTGAGTACGTGATTATCAAGTCTCTTCTTAAAGCAGTCCACTGAGGGGTCTGTAACTATCTCGGCTGGGAGAGCATTCCAAGTTACGACGACTCGCAATGAGAAAGTGTGCACGAATCTGAGTCATCGCGCTTTGATGTGCAATCTTTCGAGAATTGCCTCGAGGGGAGTGGTGGTGATGCATCGGTAAGATGCTCACATTGGGATGGTTTGGCGTGTTTAATATGGTGTACGCCAGCCATAATCAGATCACCTCTGATTCACCTGTAGCTCAGTGGAAATAATCTCAAGAGCTGGAGTCTATCGTTGTAGGGTTTATTTTTCACCCATTTCGTTGCTCGTCTCTGCACTCGATCCAAGAGATTTATGTCTCTTTTAAGCAGAGGGGGTGCGATGACGTTGAACTAAGTAGTCTACGATGAAGTCAATAAAAGATCTAGTCTATTCACTAATGATTCCCTTACTTGTCTTCATGTCAAATAAATAAATTCATTTATTTTTTCATATAGAATAGATGAAAAAAGATTGTCTACGATTTCCTATCAGAGTTCAAATGAGTTCAGTGTTTGAAGAGAATAAGCATCAAGTTATCAGTGTGTTTTGACTTAAGCGCAATACTGTTACCAATCCTACACTAGTTCTTACCTGTAGTCAAACAGTTATCTTTAGTATAGAAATGATTAAAATTTCTAATCTATGAACAATTTAAATTTTGGTCATCTTTAGTCATATGCATTCCTGCCGCATTTCATGAATATAAGTATGTTGGATTTGATATAAACCTATTTCTTAATATCTCTTTTTTTCAATTCCTCATAGAGATCACCTTCAGTGTGTACATTATACTCGAGACCTATGCCTAGAAATGAAACATACAACAATCCTCTTACATTTGTTTATGGGACAAGATCATGTTGTTGTAAGTTCTGTTAACTATTTGTCGAATACTCTACCTCTCAAAATTATTCCGTCGTAAAATGGTTTTCTTCAAATAATTACACATTTAGTATCAAATTAAACAACAACCAGTATTATTTGTTTGTGCTGGCCAATTTCTACGTGTTCTCTTAGTCTTTGTAATTAGATCGTCCAGACAATCGTAACTAAATAGCGTCTGACAGTTTATAAATCAGAAGGTAAACTCGAAGTGTTGAATACGTTTATTTTTAACACACCACAAAAATGGGATAGCAGACCACAAGCAGACCGAACAGGTACACTAGCGAGTGAATGGGAGAGTGAATTAATAAGATTGAAATGTTCGTATATATACATAGGAAAATGTCTGAGTCATCGTGATATTTAAGAGATCAATATTAAAGCGAATAGGATGCATATGCGCGTAGGCGTTAAGCAATGCTCAGTCATACTGTGGTGTGAGCTACTTATTAGTAGTATATGACGTGAGTGTCAACGTAATGTCTGGCAGCAGAAGATAGGGGAAAGATCAAGAAAGGAAGAGTGGGAACACAATGGAATTTGTATGAAACGCATGAACAGTGAACTGTCAGACAATGGATTGATGATGGATTGAAGATTTGCAAATTAACCATTTACGATATGGTTTTCCTATTTTACTGAGTAACTCTGTAATTTTAGATAAATACAATTCGGTTGCCCTCACCTGTGTTCACGTTCACTACAATACTAGGTCATACAAACCACACAATAATAAAAGCCAATGGGTACATATAAGTTATTGTTATACAAATATGGCTTGGTTGAATAAATTAATCGAAAGGGCTTAATCAAATTAAATGTAAGCGAATGCAAATAAATGTGGAGGCCACTACATGTTCACACCATTGTGGGATCGAAGATATTTTGAAAATAAGAATATTTGGTTTTCAATCTCATTTTAAGTGCATACATTGATTTGAGTGTGTAAGAACAGTCTTCTATGAAATCATTTATCTTTATTGGAACGATACAAAGTGTAGTTGTGTGAATATTCATAAGAAAAGTTGATGTTGAAAAGTTCTAAGTTTTATAATATTAAAACAGTGGAGATACATACTACTGATCTTCCAAGTTATTTAGGCAGATAGCAAAATTCAATCCTATGATCAGTATTTATGTATTAAGAATTCTAAAGTTTGAATATTTTCTCCTTACAATATGTATGTTTAACATATGTAAATTGCAAATTAGGCCATCATTTCAATTCTACATTTCAGCAAATCTTTCTAACTCTGGGCTAATTATGTCACCATGTATACCTTGTAATAATTGTACACAACTTATGCAATGTAATCAAATATTTTATGGATTGAGACCAGGTTTACCTGACAACCAATTCATCAGTACTCAATTAATTCGAGTAGTCAATACTACTGGAAATTGTTTAGATGAATGTCATGTAAATCCAAACTGTTATACTTATTCATACAGTGTGGTAAGTTGAATTTCGATGAATTTTCATCATGTTGATTGAATAACATTACATTACACCTGTTCCAATCGCGATATACATCGATTGAAACTACTGATTTTAATTATAGATTTCCTTACATGTCTAACTTCAGTCAAACGTGATTTTTTGCTTTTTGTGACTATATATTGTGCGATTTCCCTCTTTTTCCTATTCGGTTTATATTATTGAGAGAACTACTTTTATTATGTAACGAAAAGTCCAATTCAGGTGTAAAAGTAAACAGTTTTAACACGTTGATGATGTTGTTATGGGTAGTTCTTCGGGATCTTTGCTAGCTGATTTGTATATAGCATAGGATAGGACACACATACTTCGGAAAGCATCAAACTGCATCACAAGACAAGCCCTCACATGGAACCCTCAAGGTTAAAAGAAGAGAGGAAGGCCAAGGAACACATTACACCGAGAAATAGAGAAGGATATGAGAAGAATCAACAAAAATTGGACAGAACTGGAAAGGGAAGCCCAGGACAGAGTTGGTTGGAGAAAACTGGTTGGCGGCCTATGCTCCATTGTGGGTAAAAGGCGAAAGTAAGTAAGTAAGTAATACGTTGAAAATATGTTGAGTGAGCTCATCACTGACGCTACTCTGTATGAGAGATAGATGGATGATATTTTAGCCATACGTGGTAAAGATCTCCATGTTTCTCAGTTACTAGATAAACTCAATAATATTCAGAATGATATCGTACTGACCTATGAGCAAAAAATTAATGAACGATCGCCCCTTCAAGACATGCTGTTGAGTCAAATGCAGCACACGTTAGGCTTGGTAAAATGTCTCTTCAATAAGGCACAAGAATATGTACTACGGATATATTTGAAGGTGATTTTTTACCGAAACGTTGATTCGAAATGATTATTCATTGAAGTTTATAAACATATCTAAATATCAGTTAATACAAATACCTCTTGTTCATTTGCCTGAACTGAAACGTGTGTTTATATGTGTTCCATTTAAAGGCGAATCAAATAGTTTGATGGTAAAATCGGGACGAAAAGCAGCCAGTGATAAAACATAGTGCGCAGCAAAATTGGCTGTAATTGAAAGGATATAGTTCATGATTCTACATAGGCTTACACAGTAGTGGAGCGATTAGGTCACATCCAGTGAATTTATCAGTTTGCTTGTTGGTGTGGACACTTAGAGAGAGAGAAGCGATAGGAAAATGTAATCAAGGGTAATAGAACATGTGACTGAATGGTTTCAAAATTACTGAATGTCAAATGACCCGATAAACGTGGGAAATAGAAGACGCTATTCATCTGTAGCGAAACACCAAATGTCATTTACAAAAGAAATTGCTCAGATTGTGAAAAACATTACATAGGACAAAATGGACATCCTCTTCAGCTTCTTTAACAAGAACGTCAGTCGGCAGTCTTACGCTACGACATTTCTACCCTCAGATCAGTATATACGGACAACTACGGAACAACGTTGAAATACTGGATAGAGGGAGTACAGAGAACATCAGAGAACATTCAGGTCAATCAGCAATCAACAAACACATCAACTTTGACCAATTTATCAACCATTCAGAAAAATCCTAGGCGACATAGGATCAAGAAACAAACCAAAAGGAGAATACAATCAAAATAAAGGTGCAAACGACGACAGGTTTAAGATCAATAGCTACTAATCAAGATCGAAGTTAACAGAACAAGCTACGGACGGGTCAAACGTAGAAAAGCTCGAATACTTCAGTTCTATCTGAAGTTTGTGCTGACGATGTTGTTAGAACAATGAGAGCTCCACAACCAAAATGTCCACCTCAGAGAACGAAACTCCACAACATTTATTCAAGATTATCTTCAGAGACAGTATCATCATTATGAAAATGTTTGAAGTGTACTATAAACCTAAGCAAGTATTTATCAGTTTGTACGCAATGCCTCCGAAAATATATGTACAGATCTTCATTTTTCGTCTGTATTTTCCAACGAGAAGTATTAAGCCTTTAAAACTAGATCATTAGATCTGATATGTAAAATTTCTGTAGTTACTTACATCACTGTTTAGAGCGTAATAAAATTTGAGTTCATCGAGTAATATTATTCTTCTGTTAGGTGTTCGTTTTCATATCAAGAAACATAAAGTCATCAATCAGTGATCAATTACGCGCTGATCGCGTAATATATTTATTAGGCACAGTGGAGTGTCAATTAGTTGAGTGGGTGGCACGTTTGTGGTTAACAAACTTTTAATAAACATTTTATACTACTTTAATCTTCTTTAAGTAAGTATATGAATTTTTAATTTTCAAAGTCATTCGAATGCTTTTGCAGTAGTTGAAGCAATCGGATATCATGGACATGATTATATTATATTATTATTATTATTATATTATATATTCATGTATAATAAGAAAAATTTATGAAATGTGTAAACCATTCAATATATAAAAGGATATACTTACTCAATAACAGATAGTCGTTTATTGTAGAGCTGAAAGCAAACAAAGTCAACTCTTTTCATTATAGAATTATAGAGATTATTGTTTGAGATTGAAATCGTGGTTTACTCATCTCAGTGGTCCAGAGTATTCGTGCGCAAGACTGAAAGTCCTGGGTTCGAATCCCGTGAGTAGCATCAGTCGTGGATGCGCTATGCGGATTAGTCCCCTACAAGGACGAAACGGCCGTTCAATGCTTCCAAGTTTATATATATATATGTATAAATGACAACATTGAAAGAACTTGTTGAATATAAAATAGCTTTTACTATAGTCATTAACTTTGCTACATTTATAGGATTACCCATCATCGTGTTCACTCTATTCTGGACTTATGGGTAGACTGGTAATTACCAATAATTCAGTTGAAAAAATGACTGGAGGAAAATTTTGTTGCAGTAAGTTAAAAAATATTTAACATATATACATTGTAGTTTATTTTTTAAATAATAATTAAACTGTATAAGATATTTCCAGTCGTTATTGAAGAATTTTTCTATTGTATACTACTTAAATGATGCCAAGTTATACAGATTGGTAAATAAGTAGTCAACATGAAGTAAACAAAGATTCTATAATTTACACATTTTTGAAACCATAAATCGATCAATGTTAGACCACCAATAGAAACCTGGAAGCACTGGACGGCCATTTCGTCCTGGTATGGGACTCTTCAGCAGTGCGCATCCACGACTCCTGCACCCTGCAGGATTTGAACCCAGGACCTTCGGTATTGTGTGCGAACGCCTAACCACTGGATAACTGAGTTGGTATCTAACGGTGTTAATGTCTAACTTGAAGAGTCCCATGCGAGGACGAAACGGCCGTCCAGTGCTTCTAGGTTTCTAATGGTGGTCTAACATTGATCGATTCATGGTTTCAAAAATATGTAACTTAACAATCTTCACAACCCCGTAATGCAAGTTATAATTTAGTTTTGTTGAGAAATACAAATTTTATAGTCTATTGAAAAACATTATCAAACGGTTACACATTTCTCTATGTGTTAGAATTCCCTAATATGATGATATATTAGGTTCCATAAATTATCAACCTAAGGACTCACAGATTTGAATAATTAGTTAAATATTCAATCAGAATTATACAATTCCATTTTAATGATAATAAGAAATTGAATATGTAACTAGTTCCAGTGAAGCATTCATGTGTACTAACTACATTGATGATTCATTCCAAAAATACTCCATCTTTGTGTATGTTAATCATTTTTTAATTTGTTGTACAAAAATCATTGTACATTTTCTCATACATTCTCATTGTAATTTGTACTTTGTATTGGCAATGACTTTTTTTTTAAAAATCTTTTGCTATTCAATATGTATCTCATGTAATGATTTATTTGTTACTACTTACATTAGTGTTGATTTATCTTTCGAATAAATTCTATTTTCATTATTAAATTGTACGATTATTTCCTAATATTATTATTCATTAACAAAGTGATGAAGATGATGATGATGTCAGATGATGATTTAGTGAGTGAATGTCAATTTGTGTACACCACTGAATGTTATGTTTGAGTTATCGATTTTGTTGGTGTACATTTAAATACGTGACATTGGACAATTACTCTTCAATGTGTGCTATAAAATAAGACATTTGAAATGTTTAATCATGTGGTGAATTATCGTGCAGATTGACTATGATTCGTGTATCACTCGTCAACTTTCAACAGTGTATACATTTGAGAAGACAATATAAAGCGTTAACTAACGCTTTTTATCATTACAAAACACAAAATGACAAAGCCATAAGCGGACGAAGCGTAAACGAACTCAAATACAGATGGAAATATTTGTGAGCGAATGAGGATGATGAACTATTAGGGTTATTTACTCAACTAACATTTAAACTGTAACAAATGATCAAGCATACATATACATGTTCATACAAAACAAGGTACAGAAGATACACACTGATGACTGAATGACACAGTTTGTACAAATGAAAGGCCCTATCTTAAATAAAGTGTAGATAACGCGTTATAATTGCTTCATATTCCCAGTGATGTAAAAGCCTGAATAAGAAATATTATTGAGTCAGTGGCGTTATTTCACCGAGATTCATTCAAATGGTTACAGTTACTAAAACTTTTCCAGTTTTAACTAGCTCAGATGTAATCAATAGGCTGAGATATTGTGGATTATATAAGATAGTGTATATAGCCCATTGAACATCAACCAACCGATAGAAAATAATACTTTGGGGCAGAGTTTTGGAGGTTTGTGTTTTTACACATTTGAAATCATCAATCAATCATTGTTAGACCACCATTAGAAACCTGGAAGCTATGCTGGACGGCCGTTTCGTCCTGGTATGGGACTCATCAGAGAATAATACACTAACACATAATGGAATCGAATAACCAATAATTGTTCACAAGTTTTCAGTGGTTATTCAACTGAATTCAATTCAAAATATCAGATACATTGAAATTAAACAAGCTTCACTTGACTTCTTAATAGTCAGTCTATTTTCATGACTAGTTCTAATTGAGGTAGTTTGGTAAAGTTGATTTTAAAATGTAGATTCCATTCATCAAAGATTGGCCTTAGATGCGGTGCCACCGGAAAACGTCAGCATAGTAAAATCTATAGTGTCTTAATTTTGGACTTCTAAAATGCAAACACAGGGTACTGAGCTCATATAGACACACTAAGATTGCATCAAATGATATACATTCACAATTTCAGACTATTTATTTTATAGAGTGGCAATCAACTTTGATCGTTAGCGATTATAGTTTCACATTTATGAAAATTGTTATTTTGACGAAATATATATATCTGATGCTTCCTCGTTTTCACCATTAATCGAACTGAACTCATCATTACAAGGTGATTCTGCACAATTTTATCTGGTCATTTTATTGCAATATAACTGATCATACAAATGCTCTTTATATTATTATTTTGACATGAATTGTCTTGCAACAGTTCACTTATTGACTGATTGTTGATAAAAATTATTGCGTATAAAGAAAACGACTTTTCTTTCCGTGAAAGTAGTGAGCAAAACTTAGTGATCAGTCATTTTAAGCATTTTCGTCTTATTGGATAACATTCTCTACACAAATGGAACAATCCTAATATCTCATACCGTGAAACTGTGTAACTCTGATTTGAGCTCCATAAGGAGCATTCATCCACTCAGTAACACATCTACGGTTACGTCTTATGCAGTAAAAGACCTCAACCAAGATAGAAATTCCTGTGAAACATCTGCAACTACCTTACATCAAGACGTAGTATTGATTGTGTCTAGTCATTCAAACTAAGTATTAGATGAACACCATGGATAGAGTTCATTCAGCACTAATAACTAGCAAAATGTGATATTGGTCATTGTTCAATGACCAGTCAATGAAATACAAATCTTAATATTTATCCATAGTGTTTACAGGTTAAGAACCCAAAAGTGAGTTAGAATGTCCTGAATTTGATTTATAATGAGGGGATAGATACACACAGCTAAACAGTCTAACACCAGAAAGAAACAACTGTCCCATACTTCCTGCTTTTTGATAATCAATAGTGTTGTCAACCATTTAATTCAATTACATTACAGTTTGACAAAAGGCAGGCTTCTACTGGTGCGTTTCGTCAGAGAACATAAAATTAACAGAAAATCCTGAACAAAGGTTGCACAGTCATCTAGTTTAACAAATTTATCCAACTTGTTCTAGATTGGTAATTTTTACGTTGAAAAAAAAAACTGATTCATGCTTATTCGTAGCAGAAAACAATTCCTTGATGAGCAACCAACAGTAGCTTTTTATCATGTCAAAGTTTTAGGAAATTTATCAGTACAAGTGATCAACTATCATCCTTTCCTACACAAAACTATCCATGGTCAATAATGAGAGCCATTATTACATTTTCCTGAAACAATAGTCTAACAAAAAAATATCATTTTTTTATGCAATGTTAAACTAGCTAACTACATATACTAGTTATTATTACTTAATTTAGTCAAGTATATTTTCAATAGAATGGTAATGATTTTATGAACTCTTTAAAACACATACCTTTCTGTATCAATATGTACAATATTAGAACGAAGGTGTACGCACTACAGTGTGCCATATAAACAAATATGATATGATTATTTCTGAAAAAAATTATGTTTTCAACGTTATTTTATACTAACTACTATGAGTGCAGGCTAGAAATCGGCTTATAATTAACTGACTGACAAATAAGGGTTGATTAAAAAACCAATTATTCTGTAGACAAATATAATCACTAAAATCTGATCACTTTGGTTTACTGTAATGATCTTTCTAACAAGACAGTAGCTGATTGAATTCAAACTCATCTAGGTAGTATTTACAGACACACATCACTCTGATGTATCAAACAATGTGTCCATTCAACATAACAAATGATTTGAAGTTGTATTCATCTTAAAGATAACAGGACGATCGCAGCTAGACTACCGATGTGAACCACTAGTCAGTAAATATATGTTTCGTCCAAGTAATAAGACTTGTTATACATAATCCCTGACTTCATCGGTCAATCAAAACCAGTTTTTTTGGTTTCACCTACCTACGATTAATTCCTAGAACACTGAACAGACATTTAATAATGTACACATCTTACTTAAGATTATTAAAAGTCTACAATTTCCTATACTATCGGAAATTATTAGTTATCACGCTGTCATTGTGATATTACTAGCAGTCAATTCGGACAGCAATTAAGCGATTGTCTACTGGGATCGAGTTTGAGAGAGCTAGTTCTGCCCTAGGACTTATTGCTATACGTACACTGCTGATGAAACCCATAACAGGACGAAACAGCCATCCAGTGCTTTCATGTTTCTAATGGTGGTGTCCAACAGTGACTGCTTCATGATTTCAATCTGTAAAAACAATGATCTCCATAACTCTAATTGAAAAAATACACTACATCCTAAAATGATGTATGTGTAAACAACTTGGTCATCGTCTATATAGCATTCGTTTGCATTGACAACTACAGTTTACGTCATCACTCAGTTTATATTCGTTTATTTCAATAGAACTTATTAGAATAAACCTCATTGATCTCAAAGAAACAACACTTTAGTCTCTAAGAAATAGTAAAAAAACTGCTAACATAGAATAGTTCCTCAAGGTTTTCACGAACAAACAGTCAGCTTTATACCTACCATATGCTGATCGTTTGATGTCAAGTTGTTAAATAGGATGTTGCGAGTGATCATAAACGAAAGATCCAACTTCGAATAAAATATTAGTTTCATAACTAGAAATCAGCATATATAGGTTAGACTCAACTTGTGTTTTTTTACGCAATGTTCGCGTAGGCGAAGCTGAAGAGGATGTCATTTTCATCCTATGTAGTATTTTGCAGATGATATTCGGTTTTTCGTATTTTGTCCATGGGTTTACATAGGATTGATTCTGTTGGTTTGTGCTACACCTATTCCAAGTGGTTTCAGTTGCCGTGCTGTAATTTCCGAAGTCTTTCATAAATAGTAGGATGATCCGTTTGTTGGTTCCTGTACTTTGTTTCGCTTGCTGATGAGTTAGGCTAAGATTTTTCGATGAGGTTGGGTGGATAACTACTTGTTTAAAAGATACTCATCACAGAGTTTGCTTCGTTGTTTTCGTGCTTCATGTGTACTGAAGTGTGTTTTCGCTCTCTTGAACTATGTGTGTACGTAATTGATTTTGAGTTCTTGGGTCGTTATTATTATAGCTGGGAATTAGATCTATGTGGGTTGGCTTCCGATATACTTGAGTCTCCAATATCAGTTCACATTTTTGGCTTGATCACTGTTAAAATCGAGGCTTCTAGTCTCTGCATCACTGCTTATGCCATAAGTTCTGATATTGGTGTTCCTTTCGTTTGTTCATAAACTTTGTTGTTGAATTACTAGACATCAATAATAAAATCTGACAATTGATACCCCTATGAAAAATTGTGATACATTTCAATGTGTTAGAATGGACTGATAACTTGTATCTTCTCATTTTGTGGTATATATCTACTCTAAATTCAGTACCAAGGAAGAAACGGAGAAACTCATCAAGATACAACACTAGTCACTTGTTTACAGTAAGACGATGGTATAAGGCCTATCATCTGTTAACAAACTTTCTGACCATCATTAAATTTCGTAACAGTCAGCTCAAATGATTATTCGAGGATCGTTATATGCAACGCATCCAGGTCTTGTTTTGGCTTGTGGGAGAATACATAACCGATTGCTTGGGGATAGCATTTATCCAGCTTCTTTGACAGATAAGGACAGAGGTTCACAATAAGATCTTGAATAGTTCATCAAATTGTTAGTTTTTTTAAACTAACTAGTCCACTCTGTTTAAATCAGAAATCATTAACATTCATTCATTCAAAGAAACGTAAAAAGAAGTGTACTCAACCTCTGTAATTGACATGACAATTCATAGAGGGTCATCTATGAAAACGCATCAACTACCTATTACAGATTATTATATTGAATTTACTCTTTGATAATCTCTACCCTTTCGCATCCAATGAAGCATGAAAACATATTACGATGTTGGTAACAATACATAACACTTACTGACAGCACATTCAACAAGTCACCACTTTAAGTAATGAGCTATTTTCTCATCAAATTCTTACTTTCTATGCACAAACGGTTTATGAGCTTCGGAAGTAATTTTCCCTTTGGGTATTGCTCCGCAAGTCCTAGTAGTTGAGTGTTTGCAAACTAACCTGAAGAGATTCATGTTTTAATCCTTACTAGAGTTTGTGTACACAGACTGTTGAAGAGTAGTTCCATAGTAGAACAATAAAGTTGTTCAATGGTCATCGAAATGTGGTAGGTAAGTTGGTGACGAATAACATACTCACATTAAAAAATCATTGCCAAAAATTCATCTTTAAATGCCATTACCAACAATACGTAAAAAATGACCTGTTCTAATAACAACCAGAGTTAGAGATTTTTAACTTGAAAAACCATAGTCAAACTAGTATTTGCTTGCCTTTTTTTTCTTAACTACTTGAGTTGAAACAATCATTCGATTTCATACAATAAAATTTTAATTTATGCAAATTAGTTGCATAAATGTGTTGTTGTTGTTGTCACTACTTCACGAAATCAAAGTACAATTTTGATTGAACGATTTTGAAAACATATATATATATATATACACAGAAGATGAAATCGATATTCTATAGTTTACCATTTGATATGCATGAACTGTTTATCATTTATATACATTTATTTATTTGAGTTATTTTTTTAAAAAGAAACAAAAATTTAGCCAATGTATCTATCGCTTTAGGCTGAATCAACCAGTATACTAGGAGGCCATAAGCGGTTGGTAACTTAGCTGGACGATGAGCGAAAAAAGCAGGAAGCATCGGATATCTGTTTTGTTCTTTGTATGAGATTTTACAGAAGTTTGTGCTATGCCATTATGAACTGAATTCAGATAAATAAAATGTGCTACATGATATATATATCAATGTCAGACAATCTATTTATTACAAGTCACATTCTGTCCAGTACGGCGGAACAAGTATCATTTCTTACGGTAATGCCAAGTACACACACATATTCTTAAATAACATAACTGCTAATGAATAGGTATTGTTATTAATGTTCAATATCTGTAATCAAAAGTTATGCACACACACAAAATCAAATCAAATGAAAAAAGTAAGTGGAAATTGAATTCTTATGTCAAACCAATAATAATCCTATTTCAATGAATTTTTAACTATGAGTGTTTATATTATGCTATTTAGTTCATTTCACAAAAAAAATGGAATGGTGGAAAGATTTTTAACAAGTGTATCAAGTTAATAAAGATGAAATAATGAGCAGTAAATTGTTTGGAAAAATCAAAAGAGGAAAAATATAGCACAGGAGAAGAAGAGTGAAGTAACAAACTTTGTAAATAATAAAATGAACACTTCAACAGTAAATTTAACATAATTGAATAATGATACTCCATTAAAAAAACAAACATGGTAGTACCTGAAATTGGAGATATTAAAAAAATTATAAGTAATGTGGTTGTCAGAAAGGGAAATAACTAGGAAACAGAAAAGCAAACAACGGCACACACTAGGCCGAGTTCACTTTTATCAATAAATAATAACGCAAGTGCCATAATAGCAGGAATTCATTCGCACAATCAAAGATAAACAGGGCAAATCAATCAACCAATAATTAACGAGGATAGTATTTCTCCAATACTTTTGCTGGGATTCGTTTCAACAATTCTTTCGGGAAAATACGCAATAATTCCCAACCAATGTCTAGTGAGTCGAATACACTACGATTTTCATAAGCACCTAATTTAATGAGATACAATAAGAGAAAGAGAACATAGAAAATCATTGAGTTTTGAAATAGTTCAAGTGATTAATATTGGCAATACTTTAATTATTCAACCCATGAAACCGTTAATGAAATCCAAGTAATACTGAACGTCGGCTGAACAATTCAATTGTACAAATGAATTTACTAAAATCTAACTCGATGTGTTGATTTTGTGTGAATATTCATGTTAAGCTCTATATGTTGACTATGATTATAACAACGTGTGAGGCATGGGATTCACAGTCATTAGTTACTGCTAATGACTTCCAAACTAAATCGCACTGAATGTAAAGTTATTCTTGGTTATATATACACAGCAGTGACTATAAACATGTTTTATTCATGATGAAATTTTCTACGAAATACACTAACTACTAAGATAATTGAACTAACCTTGAGAGATGAAATTTTTCTCAAACTTTGTCAGAAATTCTAAATAAAGTAAATCCTCCGGACTTAATGCTTCTTCACCAACAACAGCTTTCATTGCTTGAACATCTTTTCCTATTGCATAGCATGCATACTATCAATAAAGAGAAAGAGAGGAAAACAAAACGATCAGCAATTAAACTGTCAGTATGGACTCTATTTGCAAATGAAATAAATAGATGGTAGGGAAACTTAGCACACACTATGGAGCATTGCTCGTATATCCTGGGACACCCGAGTGAGCAACGCTGTTATTAGGAAACGAGTGCTAGGTAAGGATGGCAGATCAATAGATGAAGTAGTGAAACTTCATCAGTTGAGGTGGTTGGGACATGTGTTGCGTATGCCTAACCACCGACTGCCTCGAAGAGCTTTGTTTTGTAGTGTAGCAGGAATAGGTTGGAAGAAAGCTAGGGGCGGCCAAACCAAAACATGGAAGAAATCCATGAAGTCATTGACGAGTGGACTTAGCCATGTCGGTAATTGTCGACTAACTTGGTTGGGGTCCGCGAGATGATAATAATCGATGGTTAGAGACCTTGAATGATATGGCTCAAAATCGTTTGCAATGGTGCTGGTGCATTTATTCTTTGTATTCTCTCAAATCCTAATCTTCTGGATTCTTCAACACCTCTACTTTTGACTTTCTAAACTTTTCTCACTGAATCATACTTCTTGAATAATATCTTCTAATCCTAACCTCTCCGATTACTTCTAATACCTTTACTACCTCTACTACTGTTGGATTTGAATTGACAATTACATCTCTGTGCTGATGTGGTATGGCAACATGAACTGATGTACTTACGTACGAAGTTCTGCGTTGCATCTGACTGACTGACTGACTGATGGAATAATAAGCCATACTACCTGTAAACAAATCAAACTGTGTGAAGCTTCTGAAAGTTTAGCATATGCAAGGGCAGTTCCAAAACAGAGACTGAATGTCTGGAAATGAGCAACAGTTCCCATGTAAATTCTTACTGTACTCAAATGAAAGAGCCTGTGTTGTTTGAAATAGTCATCAGGTTTAGTCAATAATAGAAGCCATTAAGGTGATCTAAGAGATATTGCCAAAACGTTGTTTTATGATGATACCATTTATCTAATTATGATTCCCATTAAGATCGAAAATACTTTGGAAACCATGTTTACTCAATACAGAGAGTTGGATTCGTGTTATGGATATAAGCAAAGCATAAAAACGTTCATCAAGAGCTTCAATTTGGTGAGTGACATTTTACATCCGTATTCAATTAAACAGAGTTATACCTTACTCTAAATTACCACCACATAAATTGCTTATTTGGTTATATGATTCTTGCAACACTGATAACTGGAAAATCTTGATGAGAAATAAAAGAATCCATCTCAGCTAATTGTCAACTTTGTAAGTAAACTAACTAAAACTTTAGGTAAACAAGAACTTACCAACTGATTAGATACATCAGAATGATCTTCACGAGTCATATTCACACCAATAGCAGATTTCATCAAACGTGACAACGATGGTAACACATTGATTGGAGGATAGATCTATAAGATTTTTATACCATATAGAATATAAGAAATAATGAGAAAATTAGTTTCAACTAAAAAGAGAACTAACAAGAAATAACTCAGTTACCATTTAATATGATCTAAAAAAAGGGGAACTAGTACAGTTGTATATGAAAATAGACTATTAATAATACATCACCAGTGAAACTGGTTTCAGGATTATTCAATTGTTTACATTATGGACTGAAATCTGGTCAGTAATTTTTAGCGCACATGCATCTTACTCCGATTGCCCCCGATATGATTATGATGATGTAAATAATGTAGAATAGGACAAGCCATCATGTATGAACATCAATGATTATCTAGGCTTAGGTAACTCAGTGTACTAAGGGTACTAAGTTTGAATCCTGATGTGAACATGAACTATGGAATGCAAGTACATTTAGCTAATGAGTACGAAATAGGAAAAAAGGTGCGTCCTGGGTTGCATTACTGACAACAACCCTACCACTCGTAGTTTAATGTAACACATGAAGGTTCATTAATGCCTATTTCTATCCGACGATTGGTCTCGTATAAAAACCTCATTTCTAATGAGGATTCGTGTGAATAAATTGAATTTGTACGGCTGTAACACAAGCATGAGCGCATGTGGTGGAGTAGATGTAACTGTTTGCAAGTATGTACCAACGTTCTTGAACAAAAATTAAGAAAAAACAAGTTTTGGTAATCATACTTGCAACCAAAAACGATAACTACAAAGCTTGACACCTGAACTACATCTTCAGGTTGATTGAATACTGTTGCGTTTTTACATAATTTAGTGTTTATAGGATAAATAATTCTGAGATTTTTGCACTGACATGATTTATTACATGAATCAGCTTTACATAAATTAGCATGGCTAGATTATGGCTAGTGGTGGAATAAAGGGTGTGCATCTCCTTCTACACGAAGGACAGCTAACAGACTCCTTCGAGGTGAAGACCGGTGTCAGGCAAGGTTGCTTACTCTCACCCTTTCTCTTTCTCATGGTCATCGACTGGATTATGAAAACGTCAACATCTGGAGGGAAGCACGGTATCAACTGGACAGTTAGGACGCAGCTGGACGATCTGGACTTCGCAGATGACTTGGCTCTTCTATCACACACGCAACAACAAATGCAACAGAAGACGACCAGTGTAGCAGCAGCCTCTGCAGCAGTAGGTCTCAAAATACATAAAGGAAAAAGAAAAATTCTCCGATGCAACACAACATGCACCAACCAAATCACTCTTGATGGAGATGCCTTGGAAGACGTTAACACCTTTACATATCTTGGCAGCATCATCGACAACCAAGGTGGATCCGATGCAGATGTGAGGGCACGGATTTGCAAAGCAAGGGCTGCATTTCTACAGTTGAAAAATATCTGGAACTCCAAACAACTTTCAATTAAAACCAAAATCAGGATATTCAATACAAATGTGAAGACAGTTCTACTGTATGGAGCGGAAACATGGAGAACTACGAAAGCTATCATCCAGAAGATACAAGTGTTTATTAACAGTTGTCTACGCAAAATAATTCGGATTCGTTTGCCAGACACCATCAGCAACAACGGTCTGTAGGAGAGAACAAACCAGATTCCAGTGGAGGAGGAAATCAGGAAGAAGCGGTGGAAGTGGATAGGACACACATTGCGGAAAGCACCTAACTGCGTCACGAGACAAGCCCTCACATGGAACCCTCAAGGCAAAAGGAAAAGAGGAAGGCCAAAGAATACATTACGCCGAGAAATAGAGAAAGATATGAGAGGAATGAACAAACACTGGACAGAACTGGAGAGGGAAACCCAGGACAGAGTTGGTTGGAGAAAACTGGTGGGCGGCCTATGCTCCATTGGGGATAACAGGCGTAAGTAAGTACGTAAGTATCTCCTTCTACTGGGTATTCGTCACCTGGATCTACCAGTATTATGCCATTAATGATAAAACTTTGATTTGAACTAAGTGATTAGCACTTCGAACACCAAAATGTCGATTCTACTTGGGATAGAACGAGTGTTCTGATTTTAACCTGTAGTCAAAATCCAGATAAACCATAACCTGTACCAAAATAACTATACTGAAGCATTTACTGATCAAATCCAAAAGTGTGATTCATACGAAATAGTAATTTGATTAACTCGAAACAATGTAATAATGAGTAAAATGCTAGTTACGCTCTAACCTGTCTGTTGTGTAATTGACGATCAACATAAATTTGACCCTCTGTAATATATCCTGTTAAATCAGGAATAGGATGAGTAATATCATCATTGGGCATAGTTAGAATTGGAATTTGAGTAATCGATCCTGATCGACCTTCAACTCGACCAGCTCGCTCGTAAATCGAAGCCAGATCAGTGTACATATAGCCTGGGAAACCACGACGTCCTGGCACTTCTTCACGAGCTGCTGATACCTAAACAACAGATAATTTTATAAAAGAACCTGATCGTTACAAATAACCATAAATAATCTGACGTTATCAGCAAAAACGATACCGTTCCTTTCCAAATAATTATATTCTCGAACAAGCGTGAACAATTACTTTTTTCGACTTGCATTTAGTACTTTAATTTACATTGTCTTATAACATGAGGCATAGTAGAGCTGATGATCGAAAATCGATAAATGAGTGACAATTTCAAACTAATTTAGTAGGCAGTCAAAACAATGATTTGATAAGTGGTCTTTTGGAACAGTTTATGTACAGTGAAACTGTTGAGGTCAGACATGTGGAAGTATGACTATCAATGTGGCTACGTATCCGCTTCGAGTATAGAATGTTAAATAGTACATAATAATGCTATCATCAGTTAAATGCAATGTAGAACCGGACAAATGCACATCAGCTCAACTCGGGACGTGTGTATAGGTCCAAGGTGCCAAGTCACATCAGTAGAGAGCAATGAAATTACCGAAATAAGTGCCAGAATAGTACTGTGATAGAAAAAGACCTGAACAATAGGCTACTGGATTATGTCTACTTGCATATACCTTAAACTAAATTCAAGTTTGTACTTAGAAATCCAAATACATCTATAGTTCACCTCATGTTGCTTCATGCCTATCTACTTAGCAGGCTACCACTAGTTCTGATGTGTTTAAACATCAAGATAAAAACAATCACTGTCGAAACATGTAGAATATAGTGTAAATGTGCTTTAAAATCTGCTTTTTAAGTTATAAGGTAGAAAAATCACTTGACTTTTACGCGATTTAATTCCAAGGAAAATGATAAGTAACGCAGATTTGTAACCGCATACAAGGATCTTCCAGTCACGCTTACAGCGAGAGGATAACAGCACTTCCAGAGTCAATGAGTCATGATTTGATTTACGTACTCACGTTTTAATCAGTAGCTGGTAGGTCTAAATTCTTCTTCGCCTACTTTTATCGACTAAAGTTTAGTAAATGAATGGTAAACGAGTTTGAATCCATAGTTCTGAGTAGAAGTATATTACACAAACAATGATACAATCACGTAGGGATATAAACATAAAAAAAATTAATTTGGTCATCAAAACAATCCAACATGTCCTAATAAACTCAAGCGAAACAAGAAAGACAATTTTTACAGAAAACAATGAATTCATTGTACACTGAGAATATAGTCATAATACATTTTCAAAGCACTTTATTACTTACCTCACGCAATGCTTCTGCGTACGAGCTCATATCAGTAAGGATAACCAGAACATGTTTTTCGCACTGATAAGCCAAGTATTCAGCGGTCGTAAGAGCAATGCGTGGTGTTATAATGCGCTCGATAGTTGGATCATTCGCCAAATTTAGGAATAGACATACATTTTCCATCGAACCATTTTCTTTAAAGTCTTGCATGAAAAACCGAGCAGTCTCCATATTAACACCCATTGCTGCGAATACAATGGCAAAATTGTCTACATCACTGTCTATAACGCTTTTCCCAGGTAACTTGACTAGACCAGCTTGACGACATATCTGGGCCGCGATTTCATCGTGTGGTAGACCAGAAGCAGAAAATATGGGGATCTTTTGACCACGTGCAATTGAATTCATCACATCGATGCTTGATATGCCAGTTTGGATCATTTCTTCTGGATAAATGCGTGACCATGGGTTTATAGGTTGACCCTGAATATCCAGATAATCTTCTGCAAGGATTGCTGGACCCTTGTCTTTCGGTTTACCAGAACCATTGAATATACGACCTTAAGAAGTCGTGAGATTTACGTACGTTAAACTTACCCAGCATATCTTCCGACACAGGTGTACGAAGGATATCTCCCGTAAATTCACATGTAGTGTTCTTTGCATCAATACCACTAGTACCCTCGAATACCTGTACAATGGCCCTTTTGCCACTAACTTCTAGAACTTGTCCTGTTCGCTGACTACCATCAGCAAGAGTAAGTCTCACGATCTCATCAAATTTAGGAAACTTTACATCATCAAGTATGACTAGAGGCCCGTTAACTCCTGAAACGGTTTTGTAAGCTGCAAAAGAAATTTTCAAAGTCAACTAGAGAATGATTATGATGATACCAAAAATTGATATACAAGTTTGGATTACCAATATTGATGGAACATTTCGCAACAGACTGCTCTTTCAACGATACTTTTCACAATGATTTTTTGTGATCTTTATTTGCCGTGTGCACACTGTGATGATTGGAAACACGTGGAGCTAATAGTGACCGTTAGGCGATCATATTATGAATCTTCCACATCTAAGGGTTTCTAGCCTTAACAGTTTTAAGTATAATCTACGGACTACAAAGCATGATTATTACTCAAATGCACGACTATCCAGATTTACATTGATATGCATTTCCAAAAACCCAAACGCGTAGGTCTGACTTGTGCTAACCTTCAGTGTATATGGAAGTTTAATTATAATCGTAGATAGCAGGTCTCCTGGTGAATATGACTAACCATAATGTTTGAACAGCAAATAGGTACAGAAATAATGTGTGGACCGAGATACATTTACTATTCTTGAATAGTGTGAAACACATCCAGGATAATTTTGCTGAATGTTTGACAGGTATTTTCAAACCGACAGAAATAATACGGACTGAAGTCAAAATAATTTTGCTAGAAACGTATGTATGTTACATGGAACCAAAGGAACTTGAATTAAAATTAAACAATGACACCGACTAGGACTAGGCAAGAAAAAAATTCAGAGAGCGGCCAAAATCCTGATGTATATCTACTGAGAAATCTCGAATCAAAAGTTTTAGGTCAGTGTACTAAGACCTTGTTGTAAATCTTCCTTAGAACTACAACTGACGCGCATTCCATAGCTTATCTGTGACAGTATTGCTTAGCAGTAATCCAAATGATCAAAATAAAGGTCTTAAATGTTATATAATACTTATTAACTTCTGTATTATTCCAAGAAAGACTAGATAACGGGAACCACAAGACTATCAGCAACAGGAATGTGAGAATGCATATTAACGACGTCAAAAACTTGACTAAATTTTAGACTGCACTGGACTCACTGATGCGGGGCTGCGATATGTAGTCCCTAGATACGGCCTGTGAGTGGACAAAACTCGCTGCTTTCTGATCCATTCTGACCTCCAGATAAATAACGAAATCTCATAAAACGCGCTTTGAAAGACCATACACATAAGCATCAATATTCAACATCTCTATTACGAACTGATCGATTTCTTTGCTCTAGCCTTTTGTTCATTCAGTATAGTTCCAGGTATTTGGTAATGCACGGTAGATAGTTATCCAGCCACTAGACTGCATCAGTTCTAGTCTGTTGGCAATTATTTATAAATTTACATTTCCCGTCATTTGTGAGTTCGTTCGTCTCAAGGAAGTAGGATTTTCAGCTACTAGAAGCTGTCACAGCATCTGCCCTGAGATCAGCTTGTTGCGACACGGAGAATAAGAAGAAGAAGTGGAGAGAGATTTTAGGATTCTAACGAACATTGTGTTATAATGAACGGACCCGAAGGGTATATGTTGGCAAAAGATATTCTGCGATAACGGTTTGGAGAGAACCATATGGTATTTAGACGGACTATCAATTAAAAGTGGTGATTTGGTGGCCATCTCTGACCTAGGACAGAGAATTCAAGCATGTGAAATCACGCAAGATTAATTGGGTCACGAATCGGATTTGAACTCAAAACCATTGTCTCATGTTTACTTTCAAATTTTAGATTTGAGTGGACAGATGTGGCCGACTCTTGTCCTATGAGAATTAGTAGACCAACTGCAGATCCCAATCGATTAACTACAATGAATCGGAATAAAAATATGCGGACCGTAGCTGTTAGCTGAGCAATAAAATCGTCTGATTCAGATAATTATGTGCATGTTCAGCAGGCTTAGACAATTTACGCTTTGAGGACTGTAAGCAGCGTTAAAGCTGAATGCTGACGTCACTTGAAGAACTGTAAGTCTAAACTTGTTGGCTTACTGTTGAGCTGTGGCGTACTGCGAGCTCATAGTATTATAGGACAGAAAACAGAAAACTTAGGTAAACCTCATGCAATAAAAACAATTTTTGGCTAGACCTTGAAGTGTCCAACTGGTTTCATATTGAGAAACCAGAGACCGATACATATCTTGAAAATTTCGGAGTTTGATAAGAATCTAGAAATGTTTTATCAAAAAATATACTAGATGCATAGATAGGTTAAAGCTGCAAGAAAAGACATGAGACAACTATTCGGTACAATTGAGCTCGCTAGAAAATATAATAAAGCAGAACGATCACCCTAGAACAAGTTGTGTAAGCCAATGACTGACACTACCAAACACATGGAACCGTACCGAAAGAACAAGAACTGGGCTCAAAGAAATCACTCGATTTATACTAACTCGTGAGAATGTTATTGGATATTAGAATGGGAAAGACTCGGAAATGTGTTCAGATCTTTGCACTTAAACTCAACGAGATATCAAGCATTTCACCGGGACTGCTATAATTGTTGAATAAACGAAAATGCCCTTGACACATTTCTAGTAAATCCACATTTGTGAAGAGAATACGACAGGTTTATTAGAAACATTCATTACCATAACCACTTATACCAGTGATTTTTTAACCGTACTTCTTATTTATAACACTATTTACGCACAGACTTCCGTCTGCTTTGCTACCATAATTGCTCGACCGTCCCTGAAATTTCGCCCCCGTATTCTGGCACGATTTCGGCATTCTTTCGATACCAGGAAATCGCCAGCAAATATATATATTATTCCGTCTGATGGGCTATTAATTGCTGTGGTGGTGATGATAGTCAAACTCGACTCAATCGCCACTAATCATTCTTATATTTTCTAGCCTCAGGATAGATGATCTTACGTCATCGATAAGGAACTCACAGGTTATAATTGAAGATTACACCTAAGAATAGGAAGTAAGTGGCCAGTGATTCTCAAAACACGAGCCTCAGTGGATATAGTTACAGAACTGAAATCTAATGACTACAAAGAGGAATGATAGATTTGATACTGCCAGTATCAAAGATAAAATCATGCAAAAAACCATTTCACAATAGTATTCATTTGAGAATATGAAGTGAATAATTACTGAAAGTTATAATTAAGGATTGCATATGATCATTTGAATCAACGAACGTGTTTAGATCAGCACAACATGATTTATCGTCGACGGTGACAAAATAAATAATGGATCTACGCATCACCCTGCATCCGATTTTACCATACTTGAAGCATTTAGCTGAACGAAAGACACATGAAGAACGTGAATGTAATTTAACGCACGATAAACACTGACCATACCCATGCTTTGATGAATTAATTCACATGTGTCCTTGAGAATGGAGACCAATGTTAACTGAATTCAGGCTTGGTTCACCTTGAGGATTAAGTTCGCTACCACGGATGTGCAATGCGTCAGATATTATGATTAGCTGGGAATCATGCTCATTCACAGCCTCACAGTTAACAAATGTTGTTTTAATTTTCTGGAATAAACTTTTAGGTTTCTGTGTGAATTCCCATTCTGAATTTGTAATATCTATCCCAGTTATCTGTCGACCGCGAAGTTAGATTTCCAACTGGTCATCAAAATTGCATATCACCTCTTCTTGACTACTTTTTTTCGTCGTCTCATGGAATTCCGACTTCACTCTGCTTCCACAGCAAAAACACTGCACATGACTAAGCAGTAATTCTGTGGTGAATAGGAAATATGTCTGCTGAGTGATTAAATATTTTCTATCGTGTTAAAATCTGAAATATTAAAATGTAGCAAGTTCATACTGCGTACTTCCAATCCGAGTTCTTGATTGTGTCTTATGAAAGTTTGGATATTTTGGAATCAATCGTATTTCCTTGGAATATTCGAATTCCTTAAGAGAATTCTTGCTATGAGATTGGTATCTCGTTGAAGTCCTATATATATATATATATATATATATATATATATATATACAGTGCGCTGGTTGTAGTCGAGATTGACTAGGAAAACCACTACAGACCAACTGCGTTCCCGCCTGTAATCGTGGTCCCGTCGTGAACTAAAGACGGAGAACGTATAATCCAGAAGAGGGTGTTTATTTGCTGGTGATCATATGGTATCGAAAGAATACCGAGACCGTGCCAAAGAATATGGGCGAACATACAACTAGCAGTATTATCGAGATGACAACAAAACAAATGGAACGTAAGCGAACAGAGTGCGAATAAACAAGGAGCTTCTCGGCTTTCTGAGCTAAGAACATGTGTAGTTCAGTAAAAAAATCGCTGATACATAATAATGAACAAGTTTCTTTAACCAATCGCGTTTTCTCCGTAAAAGTGGAGTCCCTACAATATATATATATATATATATATATATATATATATATATATATATATACGGAATATTGACAGTGAATCCTTATATGAAAATCCGATTCTAGTTAGTGTTCTCAAAAACTCATATGACAGGCTATTATATTAACTGTAGCGTCAACTTTTGTATGCATCGTGATCAGTCAGTTTTTCGATGAAATATAATGGATTTAGCTGTTAAATAATTGGTGTTACTTGAAACTGAATGTGCGATGCACCGAAAATTTACAGTTTTGCCTAATTCAAAAAAGTATCTATGGAAGTTATACATGCTTTACGTCACTATATGAATCGATTATGCTTTCAATTACAGTTTCACTCATAGGTTCAGTTTTATTGCTGATATTTACTAACGACCTGTTGGGCTCGGTTAGCTCACCGGCATTGATCTACGCAGACCATACAAAGATCTGGAGGTCCATTAGAAGCAAAGATGATTCAGTTGGAGGAATGGGCATAGAAAAATGGTTTATGACTCAACCAATCGAAGTGTCACGTCATGTATATCCTGTACCACATGACGCGGACGATTTACACTCTCAATGGAAGTCCGCTCCGTAATGTCTCCTCGGAGCGCGATCTCGGCTTAATAACCACAGAAAGTCTCCACACCAGCCCGAACTATATAGAGGACGCAGCCGAGGCAACTGCGACTCTTCACCTTATGCAGAGAAAACTTGGTGCTATCACTCCAAAATTATCCTAAACATCATTTAGGACAACCGTGCGCCCACGCCTTGAGGTTCATAACGTCATCGCAGCCCCTCTGCTTCAGAGGGACATCAATCTCTTGGTTCGAGTGCAGAGACGAGCAACCAAATGGGTGATAGGGTTGAAAAGTAAAACTTACAAAGATAGACTACAGCATTTAGGATTACTCCCACTAAGTTACAGGAGGTAATCTGATTATGGCGCACAACATATTAAGCACGTCAAACCATCCCAACGTGAGCACCTTACCGATGCATCACCACCACATCCTTCGAGGCAATCCTCGAAAGATTGCACATCAAAGAGCGAAAACCCAGGGTTGAGCACACTTTTCCTCATTGAGAGTCGTCGTAACTTGGAATGCTCTCCCAACCGAGGTGACCACAGCCCCCTCAGTGGACAGCTTTAAGAAGAGACTTGTTAAGCCCCTACGCACATACGGGTTATTATCTCCCTTTTGGACCAGCTGTGCCTGATGCATATCTCGAGAACTGCTAGCTGTTATCATTGCCATCTCCTCAGATCACTCAATTAATCTATCTTGCCTATTATACCTGTTTACTCTCCCTTGCTTACACTTTGGTCCTCTCTCACAATCTTCACTACTAAATTATCTATTGATGTACTTAGTTCTATAATCTTATTCATATTAGCATTAGAGTTTTGTCTTTGTTATTCTCCACATCGCAACTAACTGACCTCCGGTTCGGTAATAAGTTAGCTACTGGTATCCAGAATCCCTACTGTCCCAAAACAAATGTATGTCATATCTTGTCAGAAAATATAAATTACATGTGTCAACATTTCATAATATTGTGTTTTTATCATAATTTGTTTTCTGGTTTATTCGGTACATCCACGAGTAGTTAGTAATTGAGCAAGGTATGCTGAATATGACTGAAAATACAGATGACTTTACTATTCTAAATAATCGATCAACAGGGGGTCTTGTTGAGTGATAATGACCTGAAATGATTTCGACTTTAAATGCTAATCTTCCACATTTATCGTCGAATAGAAATGGCTTATAAATTATGCCGAACTGTAGAGTGGTGTTGATGTTAATTTTAAAAACCGAATGGTACAAATGAGCATACAACATTTTCGGACTCATTCTACTGAACTACATTTTGTCACAAATATATTGAAATAAACGGATATTCTAAAAAGTGTACATTTTATCATTATGTGATCAATATCACATACAACATTTATTCAGTCATTTGTAATTAGGCTTCATAACAACGATAACAAATAGAACAAAATAAATTTTTTGTTTTAGAACTCTACATTCGAAATGCATCTTAACTATGAGAAAAGGCCTTTAGTTTTCTAATAAGATTTGTCAGACTTTGGAATTTTATCTCAGAACCTTTCTGAGCATCGTAGCATTCTTAATCTGTGAAAATTTGCGTACGGTGTTTGATTGCTTATTGTCTTGCAAAAAATTCAAAGTCAGCATTTTATACTGTTTATATTTAGGACATAAATAGCTGTTAGGCTAATATGAATTAGTTTCAAGTAACTAATAAATCTCGACTTACCTCAACTCACTGATAGTTGTTACTATTCCTATGTACTAAACAGTATAGTTTCAATATGATTGGGGGAAGTATTTTTAATCTCTCTTTTGCGTATATTTATGAATATAAAAATTTACCTTACTATCGATGAATCTCATTAACTACCCACTAATTCAATATTTACATGACTTTAGTTTCTCTGAGTTTTCGGTTTTAATTAGGAATATATATCGAAAGCTAAGACAATCATTACAGTTAGCTGTTGATTATATCTTCATCTCCCACCATTGTATTCACTCATAAAAAAAGCTATGCAAGAGGACAGTCAAAACATTTCATATTGTTAGACTGGGTGAGGTTAGTCCTAATTTCATAGACAGAGTCACTTCCATCAAGATAGAATATTCGTTTTATTTACAGATATTAGCTAGAAACTTGGGCACAGGGCTTTACGGAGACCGTAGTTAACCAATTAATAAAACGTACTTTAATATTGTGTCTAAATCAAATCGCAAACAATTATCTCATACGCTTCATTTGATTTCGAAAGCTCCATTCTAAGTGTTCACATTAATTATAATAAATTATTTCCATAAAATTCTAGGTCACAATTGCATTTGAAAATAACAGTACGAACAGTCATTTGTTTAGTTCTAATTTCTCAGCTTTTATGTCATAAAATCCTATATTATCCTGTTGTTTGAGATTGGATTTCGAATAATTAAGTCGGTGTATGAGATCTTTGAAGGATTTCCTAACTGCTCACTGTAGTTAGAAGTAAAATTTTCAAAATGTGAGTGGCAGTGCAATCCAAAGTTTTCTATTTTTCTGATTTAAAGCATTTTCATCTGAATAGATGTTTATTTGATTGGAGGCCATCTGACTAAAGTTAGCAGTTTGAGCATATCTTTTTCAGATGGCAATGAGTTATTCACCAACGAAATGAATGCAGCTAGCCAATAATTTGTCCATCTAGCATTAAATATTTATATTTGTCTTTCATATATTCAACTACTAAATCCGAAACAGGATGAAAGGCCTGTTCTAGATTTCACTACTACTCATCATCCATATCTTCTCATAATCCTTGTGAATCAATGGCAATTTCGAAGCAATCCGCATAGAATACACTTATGCAGAACCGGACTGATTTTTGAAGTCATAAATACCAATGGGAAGATTTGAAAAACTAATACAAATTAAATAAACTTTACCCCGCTGCATAAGCCGGTGACTGTATGGACTCGACAGCTAAATGAATAACTAGTTCATATTAGAAGCGAAAGGTACTGTATTCAAGTCCCTAAGTGAACATCAACTCCGAGATGCGGATACATCTATTCGACGGGTCTCAGATAGGATGAAACGTATGTTCTGAATCCCACTGCCAGTCACTATCCATCTCTTATTAATTTTCTTGTTCAGAAAATTCCTAAAATTCGGATTATAACTTTTTCTAAAAGTCGAACTTTTAGGCTGATTTATCAGCAGTATGTACAATTTTAAATATTTTTTTATTAAGAAATTCAAAATGACCAATTTTTCCGTTAAAAAACAACCACCTTGAATAGTAAAAAGATAATTTAGACACCTATTGATGTATAGAGTTTCAAGAATGGTGGAGAAAGTTTGTAGCTCAAGTGGATGATTGCGGTGATGTTTGTTTCGTTCTCTCAGGTGGATATTTTGGTTGTGGAACTTTCATTTTTCTTCAAATAGAAGTTGGTGCTGCTGATGTTGTTCAGAAGAAGAACAATGAAAGCTCCACAACCAAAACATCCAACTCAAAGAACAAAACACCACCACAGTATAGCATTTCATTTATATTTCTAATGGCTTCGAATACTGAATTCCAAGTTTCGGTTTGATATAATAACGATTCTACACCAGACAGCATCGTCCGTTGAGGAAGTTGGCGTTTGAACATACATAATGAGTGTCCTAACCACCTCAACTGATGGAGATGCACTGTTTCATCAGTTGATTCCCTATCACTACCTATTACCCTTTTCCTAACACTAGCATTGCTTAATTGGTGGTCCGTGGATGTACGAGCAATGCTTCGAAGACACGTATGCTCCAGCATCTAGTAGCTTACGAATATCCACTATCCTTAGTTGCCATGTTTCCTACACTGCTGGCAGTAAACTCGTCTTTTAGTTAGTAGACGGATATCTCGCCTACGTCATAATGTTTGCCTGTTCATTGCACAATTTTATTTACACATAGATTATGTGCAATAGTTTATGTTCTCACTGCAACTACAAGTGTTTGGCTTTTTTTAATCGAATAAATGTTGAAGTGATAAATCACCTGGTGGTTTCAAATTTAACCTTTTCTGTGTTTTTAATATTTTTTTTGATTCAATGAATAAATCTGGACACATTTGTTAATTTATTGTAATGACCGTTGGGCAAATATAATAGCAATACTATAGAGGTATCTATTTCGAGATTATGTGCCAATGAAGGTTGATTAGTTCATTCATATAAAAATCAATAACAGGAAACATATGAATTCTAGTAAACATGAACTTGTTCAGTGGTGAACTAGAGATGATTACTGATCCAATCATTCAATAATCAAAAGACAATAGAATATGAAGTATAAGAATTAATGTTTTACTACTGATAGCATAACTTTGTGAACACAGAGTATGTTTGTGTACAATAAATATGCATTTTAGTGAAAATCCCACTAATCTCAACTACCTAGTCTGAACTTACCAAAACAACCTAACCCAATAGTTAGTGACTTCATGGACTGAAGTCATGTCTTAATTTGGCAGCCTCTAGCATTTTCGAACCCATTGTAACACTAATTAATATCATGTAATGAGGTACTTGGTGGTTGGGCATAAATCCATCAGCGTTACAGCCTTCTCGGTCGGTGAGGATTCAGTCTTATCAACCGGTTTACTGACCTAAACTTGAAATTAAAGTGGCTCATTCGATATTCATGGATTCATTTTCTGAGTGGTTGGTATATATATAACTCCTCCTGGAACCCCTCTGGGGCTACTGCCGGTTCCAAGCTTGGATAACAGAGGAGAGTGGAGCGTGGGGTTAGCGACTCCATCTCGTAGAAAACTAACTCGCTAAAAAGACTAACAAGCATTATATATGTATATATACTGCCACCAGATAGATAGTTTCTTCCTTTTTGGCCTTACTGCTCAAGAAACGAGTTTGGAGGTGACTGTGTATCCGGTTCAAATTTAGGACACCTCACATCATAAATAACATCTTACTAAGAAGATCAATCGTACTAGTGCAGTAACAATCGATTAATGTGAAGGATTCTTTCCTATTGATTTATTTTAGATATTCATCCGGATAGTGCAGAGTACATGTTAAAAATGATTGACAACAAATTGGTTTATCTTAAAAATTTAGAAGAAAAAGTGCGATTAATCAAGCCCATTACAGAGTTGATTTCAAACAAAACTCAGCACATCAATGAAGTGAATAAAGCGAATGGTGTTTTTGAACAAATTACTCATAGTGAAAATCCATTTCCAGATTGTTTACCTTTAGAATATGCACAAATATGGCGAGATTCGGATAAATTAAAACAAGAATTCAAATATCAATCATGTCAATTAAATCGATACTACGGTAAGCTATTTTATTTTCTAATACAACCTAGTTATCAACTTTGAAATATACAATACAAATTCACTCTATATATCGCTTCCTTATGTAGTACAAACCTGATCAGTTGTATATTAATAGAAATAATGAGTCAATTAACTCTAGGGAAGATCATAAAGCTTTTAATTTCAATCCAAAATAGTTCATTTTAACTTCACCTTAAACCAGTCAAATGTTCCATGTGTTTTCTCTGTTTTAAATCAGAATGAAAGAAATCTGAATGTAATTCAAAAGGTTTTATTAAGTTCGTCATTAGGTAAGCTTGAAGCTATTACGAATTCACCTTAGTCGATAAACGCAAACGAGGCAATGAACCAGCGTCCAGATAGGCTACCTTGAATCCCAAGCTGAAGATAAAAGGTTTTGTAAGCGTAGAAAGTATATTGTACAAACACCCAGCAATCACAATACAATCAAGCATACAACTCTCGTTTATTTATACATCATAGAAACGTCCTTGGGACAATTACGAAAATAGCACACTAATAAAATACACAGCAGCCAATCATAGCCATGGATTCTGCTGGTGGGAATTGAAATCTTAAGGTCAATTGATCAGCCCATGCTGGCAAACGTGAAAACCAAAATAAGGCATTTAACAAGCGAATTTTGGGGATCTCACATCCCCAACAGATTTCAAATTAATGAAAAAGCAATAATTTTTTATTTACGTGTAAAATGGTCTCATAGTGCACGTTGAGTAATATATTTTATTTTCCTGTGGAAATCATTAATTTGTCTTTTAATTGAATTTTCAGAGTGTATCGTCCGTCTCTACATTGACAAATATCATTTTCAAGGCAAAGATGTGAGCTGTAGAAAAAGTGATTTATTCAAACTTTTGGAAAATTATAATTTGGATAAATTAATTGATTATTTTAAACAAGAACCGTCTATATGAAACATTTTTGTAGTTTCTTTTTTTCTAACAATTTGCTTATATGCTTTTAAACATTGGATTTTATGGTAAATTATATCATAACTTCAAAGTAACTCTTGAATCAGTTATATACTTGATCTGCTTACTATTCAGTAGCTTAATTGGTGTTATCCCTGCATTTGTACACAAGTTATCATGTCTTAAAATAATAACAAGCCATTTTTATCTATTAGTTATCAATTTTAAAAAATTGTTGATCAATCAAGCCTTGTCCTGCTGATTCATAGATTGAATGTTTATGTATACCTCGTTCATTATTTATCCGATAATGATTGAATAAATCAATTGAATGTGTGCAAAATCCTACAGTGAAAAAGTGATAAGTATAGCATATACATGATACATGATTATTTATTTTAAAATTAACAATATATTCTATTGAGAATATACAATTAGCGTTTTGTTTTGATGTACACTGGTTGATCCATGATTAGTGACCATTGTTTTGTTGGTTGAATTGTCCGAATGTTGATTGAATTCTGTCCAAAAAGTTACGATGTGGCGATTACTCTCTGAGCAGCTGAAAATCACGGTCATAATGGTAATATGTTAGGTGGTGGCAAGAAGTCAACCAAGGAACACTAAATGACCTTGTTTTGATACCATTTGAAACTCATAAGTAGGTGTGTTTTTCTGTTGGATTCGAACTTCCATCATCATCCAGCTTCACAGTTTCAGATGTAACCATTGAGCGCTGTTGAGATAACTACTTACCTGAATAGGGATAAATAAAGCATGCGAATAACTATTTCATGGTTGTCATGCAAAGTACATTTTCACTATTTATTTTAGATAATAACAGCCATTAAGCTGTGTATTAATCAGTTTGAAAAAAAGAAAACATTTTTCTTGACAGACAACTAACTTTTTTTCGCAGGTTTATCAAAACACTGAGTTTTATTAAATAAAGTGTTGTAAGTAAACCCTAAATCATATCATAACAGATCATGCTTGTTCAGTAGAACAACTGAAATCAATGAGTAAATAAACGTTGGGTTGATCGATGTAAAGACTGTTTGGAACAAACGACATGGATATAGATCTAATTTGATTCAGAATGCTGTACGATAGCCTAAGTATAAATGATCAGTCTCTTAAATCATTGAGGTTATCGTTTCATGATTTTCTTATGCTAAATGTAAGCAAACATTTATTCGGACTTAATAGGAATCTTTGAAACCATGAATCAATCAATGTTAGACCACCATTAGAAACCTGGAAGCAATGGACGGCCGTCAAGTCCTGGTATGGGACTCCTCAGCAGTGCGCATCCACAACTCCTGCACCCCGCAGGATTCGAACCCGAGACCTTCGGTATTGTGCGCGAAAGCCCTAACCTGTGCTCACTAGTGACTAGCTTCGTGAGGAATCTTCTCCGAGTTCTAGTGGGAAGACATGACCAGTGAAGTTCAACCAGTTCGCGTGTAGGCAGTGTCTACCGAAGACTGTGTATGAGGTTGCGCAACTCCATGAATTGATCAAGTTAGACATTAACACCGTTGGATACCGGCTCAATGTCTAACGGTTAGGGCGTTCGCACACAATACCGAAGGTCCTGGGTTCGAATCCTGCGGGGTGCAGGGGTCGTGGAAGCGCACTGCTGAGGAGTACAATACCAGAACTTGATGGCCGTCCAGTACTTCTAGGTTTCTAATGGTGGTCTAACATTGATTGATTCATGGTTTCAAAAATGTGTAACTTAACAATCTTCACAAACCTGTAATGCAAATTTTATATTATTCAAATACGAGAGTATCGTTATAAAATGGATTTTTGCTATCTCTGAATCATGTTTTGACTGTACATTTTTTAAAAAACAATAAAATTGTTGGCGAAATAATTTAGATCTGTGTTTTAGCATAATTTAAAACATTGATTAATCTATTGTCTGGAGAAATAATGAATACCATGTCACAGTGAACGCCTATTTCAGTTTATTTTGAATAATGGTACAAGAATATGAGCTTATAAATTGTTTGATCTGAAAGTAAGCTTGTAAATTGACCGCTGATTAGGTAGGTGGCTGTGTTGTCGTGCTGATTCTTTCTATCAATCAAGATGAAACATGGTCAATATTCCAATTGAATGCCGCTGCTGGCACGAAACTTAAACCTGAGGTGTTTCTGGTCGTCTGTTTCCAAACACCTTAGTTCATCCATCAATGATTCCCATTTCCTACTACTCCAGTGAATTCAATACACTAGTGGTGAAGTCTGTTCTCGTCTTGATATCATTGAAGAAAACCAGTTTTGGATTCCCCCTAAAAAATAGATCTTATGGTTCTTTATGTAATCTGTAAGAACTAAGATTATTAGCTGTGCATCACTGTAGATAAAATAGCTAGCTATTCAACATTTTTACACATTTGAAATCATCAATCAATCATTGTTAGACCACCATTGGATACCTGGAAGCACTGAAACACGGCCGTTTCGTCCTGGTATGGGACTCGTCAGCAATGCGCATCCATGACTCCTGCCCCTCGCAGGACTCGAAACCGGGACCTTTGGCATTGTAGGCGAACGCCTTACCATGATTGATTCATGATCTCAAATGTGTAAAAACGCAAACTTCCAAAACTATGCCCCAAAATATTCAATATTTCTTGATTTTTAATCACTTTTTATTGAAAACATACTTTACATTGAAAAACAACAACTCACTGTAGACTTAGTGGAAAATCAATTATTCGTGTTAAGATGCAAAACAATCTCTTAAACATTAGAATGCATGGACAGAATAGATGATGATATTTGTAAGCTGACGCGGAGGAGCAGGATGATGATGATGATGATCATGCATGATATTGTTATCTTCTCTATGATCATAGTAAATCTATGTATTAATCAATGTGACATGTAATTTGTCTCTTTTATTTTTTTTTCTGAATACTTTCGACAAAATCAATCATAATACAACTAATCAATATATATAAGCATGCTTTTCATTTTTTTTCTCACATGTGAACGGATGTGTTATTGATTATTACATTAAGGTTGACGAATATCTGTATGTATAATATATACATTATCAGAGGATGATTCATTGGCAATTTCTTAACTGTATTTGTTTTAATTTACATCATGTACGATTTAATTGAAACTTGATCAAAGTATAATTATTTGACAGTTCAACTTGTTTTATCCCCATCAAATTGTATGATATTGGTGTGGAGGAGTATTACTCTTTTCGAGGTAGTCTGAAATAATCATAATAATAGTGATAATATGTGTGAAACATGAAATAATCTCATTTTCAGAGTGTAAAATATTACAATAATCAATGAACATTTCGACTAGGATTTCGATATTGTTTCGAGATTATTTGTTTATTTCTTTCAATAAATAATTCAAATTATCCGGGGAAACATTTTTGTGAAAATATGATTTTTGTTATTAAATATACAAAGTGTTGTTTATATTTACATGACACTGATGATGATGACCGGTAATGTTGACTCATTCATGCATTACCTGTGTTATTGTTGATGTTTTGGTCACATGGATCTGGAAATTCTGGTTCTTGTTGAGTTTGTAATTGATATTCACTTATTGGTGGTATAACCGAGTTTGAAAGAGTATCAGTGAGTTTATTGAAACTATTATCTGTAATAGCGTGACAAGATTTAAAGTTTGATTCAATGTCATCTTGTCCAGTTTGTTGTTGTTGTTGTATACAGATTGATTCTATCGGGGACCATAATGTTGGCTGAGCTTCTGTTGATAGTATGGACGAAGAAGTTGTCAATGAATGTGCAGGTAATTTTTGTGCATAAGAAGGATAAACACTGTAATTGAATGGATCTTGAGATGTTTTTGATGAATTAGTTTGTTGGAAGTTATAAGCTAATGGATTTGTTTGATTATTTAGACAGTATTTTTTCCATTCTTGACATGGATAAGTTTGTAATGATTTGGAATAAATGATTTCAGAACTGTTCAATGTATCTTTACTTATTGTCGGATTGAAATGACTATGATCAGTGGTGGATCGATCAGTCCATGAATTATGAGTGCTCTTATTCATATTATGTTCTAATTCATTGTCTGCATTTTCATCATCATCGTCATCATCATCATCCTCATCATCATTTTCATCCTCATCGGCATCTTCATCATCATCGTCATCATCATCATCATCGTTTCTTGGAGTAGAATAGGATTTCGGATTAAAATGTGAATAATGATTACTGGTTACCATTGGTAACCAATAGTTAGAGGATGTTGATGATTCAAACAATGGTCTTGTCCAATGACTCGGTTTCGGCACAGCATCCAATAGATTTGTTTCACTAGTATTGCTTATCGAGTAAAAATTTCGATTTACATAGTTATCACTTTGAATTGAATGATTGAATTTCAATTGATTGTCAACTGTTTGATTGTCAGTAGAAATACTGTAATCATTTTTCATATTTGTTGACCATGTTTGATAATCTAAATTATTTGTTAACAAATCTGATTTAATATAGTTATTATTATTGTTATTGTTATTATTATTGACAGCAGTAATATGTTTATTGAGATTTGTTTCAGGTGAACTGATCACAGATTGAATGATTGGACTGTTTGAATTGCTATTCGAATGATAATTTTCAAATCCAGATGAAGAGTCAATCGGTATACCATCTGAATTGATGAGGATATCAGTTTCAGATGATAAAGTTTTCATTAGAAGATCATGACAATCTTCATAAATGTTCTACAAAAAAAAACAAATTGGAATAAGAAATAGAATAGGGACGAGATTTTTTTTAAAAAAAACAGTTATACTACTTATGCTTCAGGGCTTTTAGATGCATGATGATGATATAATTGGCTAGAACCACACTGGTTGTGCTAGATTTACAGTTAACTTGGTGTATATTATTAATTTCTACTCAACGTCACGGTAATTTTTTGTCAAGTTTAATAGTGGAATTCGGTTTGCAGTCTTCGTCCTAATTAGGACTCGTCAGTCGATCGTTTGTGGATTTTAGTGTTGATTTTTACATTGAGGTTTCAAAACTACAGAAAACGTCGTTTCATGTGTTAACACTTTTTTCCACTGACATTTACATCATCTAGATGAAGAGTACCAAGCAGGACGAGATGAGTATTCGCAGTTTAGTTCATGATTAACTGAATCAAATCCAGAGATCAATAACCTATGTAAGCTAGTTTTATACTGTTTAGCATTCCTGATTGACTGAGTGTTGGTGTGTTTGACTTAATCTTACACAGAAATCGCTTCATTTTGAATCTATTCATCTGACATGGTCACTAGTCTAAGTGATTGGACATCATGTGCACTGTGTTTGATGCTAGGACTACCAAAGCTATTAACAGTGGAGGCTTACTGATTGAAGCTTTCAACGAAGTTTTGTGTTCGAACTCTAGTCAACCTACTTTGTTTTGCAAACTTTGTGGTATCACTAGTCCTCATACTTAGAGTATAATATCCTAATGCAGGGTAAATAATTCTTCTGATTTAAATGGAGAGTAAGGTCTTTTTAAAACCATTTCTTAAAGACATTCCCAGGATTTTAAGTGGTTAGGATAATTGGTTGGGCTTTTATGTCGAAAATTGTAAATTTAATTAGAATGAGCTCTTTAAGTTTACAATTTTATCTTGTAAATTGTCATGAATATTTACGTACTACTCGTGGGTGCTCAAACTAGGTTTTTTTTAATAGAAATAGGGATAACTTTTGATCTTTCTTAATTTATGACCTGATCTTAGTAAACAAACTATTAAAATTCTGCAAGAAGTGTACAGCCGTTTCGTCCTAGTGCGCGGCATCTCAGTAGTGAGCATCCGGGACGGTTGGACCTAGAACTGTAGGTTTTGTGTACAAACGTTTAGCCTCTAGACCAATGAGCTGGCATCCAGCGGTGTTAATGCCTAATTTTAAACGAAGCGGCTGGGTAGTGCTTTCATATTTCCAACGATGGTTTGACTAAGATCAATTAACGATTAAAAAGAGATGAAAATTCCATTGTATCCACAAAATTCTAAACTGACAAAAATTGTTTTGCTATTATTATTATTGTTGAATAAAAGTGGTATTAATATCACATAGTATAATGATTTAGTTTTTAGAAATATTTAAAAATTTATCGAATAAATCTGTTCACGCTCAAAATATATTTAGTCATTCGAAAATATAAATCATTTCGCAAAAATGTATTTTCCAGTGATTGCCGTTTAACCATATAATTAGATTTTTTCCTATTCGAAATTGGATGGTGAGTAGTAAGTAAGAACTAGGACGTGTGTTTCATCCTACTTTGAACTTGTCAGCTGAATGAATGTCAATCAGCCAGACACTAATCACTTGACAGCCCAAATATCCATGAAAAAAATATTTAAAATACCAATAAAAATTTATTTATTAATCCGAAAACAACTATTCATGATTCTTACCTCTGATTGATTATTTAATTCACTTGTTTCTGATTTGCAAGATAGTGAGTTTGTTAAAAGGGATACATCATGACCTTGATTGATCAACTTTTTGAATTTTGACCGCCTATTTTGAAACCATATTTTCACCTTGTTAATGTTATAACAAAAATAAAGTCAAAATTAAATTTATTGCTGATTCAAGTGAATAATAAACATCATAATCTTAAAGTAGTTTTAATAGAATATTTAAGATAAATTGCAGTGCATAAGTGAACATTTTTAAAAGTGTTTAAGCATGTATGACGAATGAGATAAACTAATCCGTATTTTTAATAAAGCAACCATCTTTCCATTCACTATACGTTTAACTTACAATAGAATAATTGTGATACCTCAGTTCAGTAAGACAAATACAATAAAAATGAATAATCACCTCTTGATATATTATTTGGCTTACCATTGGAAGTGGAACTAAGTGTGAACATTTCACAGTATAATGTGCACCAGTATCCCAGTGTTAATGGTAACAGTCAGATTTATATTCAGTTCCTACTTCTTCAAATGCAACTAGGTTATTCAGTTGAGTATTGAATTTGTATAGCAATCAAGTTTTTCAATGTGTATTATCAATAAGGGGGTTTTGTATTTTTTTTCTGTGTCCTTAAAATGCAAGTATACCATTAGAGATTGACCAATTATAATCGCTAATATCAATATTATCAAAATACACAACCGTACTTGGACCAATCAGAAAATAATTCCTGAATCATTCAGTTGAATGTGATTGGAAATGAAAATTTTTAACTATTTATTTTTACTTTTAAAATTACAGTCTAAGTGATTGAATTCAAAATTCGTTCATCATGGACTAATTATTTTCGATCTAACTAGTAATCCATAGTCATATTATTTTGATTGAGTATTTTTACAAATTCCTACGAAATTTTTCGTCAAATATTATTGACGATCCCGTCAATTTTGAACTTGATACTGAAATAATGCGAATTTTAACTGTCAAGGACGAGTTGACTATCAACTTATACATTCGGATGTAGATGACTATGAACAAGAAATAAACATGATCATGTTACCGATTACACAATATAATCATCAAATATGATAATCTCTTTGTATTACATTATCAATATTTATTCTTCTATATTAACGTGGAAGCATTATTATTGAAAATTGAACACATACATGACTGCACAGTTTGATCCTACTAAATTCATTGAAACTAAATGATTGTAGCGTTTCAATTGGAATGCTATCAGTTTGTTTTTACTGTGCAGTAGAAATACTGTAGTGAAGGAGAACACCGATGAGGACAACCAAATTATATTTATCAAAAATTACAGAGTTACTCAGTAAAATCGGAAAACCATATCGTAAACGGTTAATTTGCAAATCATCAATCCATCATCAATCCATTGTCTGACATTTCACTCACTATTCATGCGTTTCATACAAATTCGATTGTGTTCCCACTTTTCCTTTCTTGATCCTCCCCCATCTTCTGCTGCCAGACATAACGTTTACACTCGCGTCATATACTACTTATAAGTAGCGCGCATTACAATACTTCTATACAATCCCTGAAATACCATTTTCATTTTGTATTAAAATTCCAATAATTCTGAATGAGAAAATTCTTTATATTGAATCTTCTAAAATAAACTTGAATGGAATCTATGATTTTTTCTCTTTGTTTGTTACCTTTTGTGTATTATTTTTTCTGGGAACAAAATGCTCTATTTTTGCTTCCTCACCTTGTGTACACACACATACACACAGTGTATTTTCAAAAACCGAATGTAGGCGTACAAGTTTACTGTTTACACGCACACAGAGATTACGCTTAATACTTTCTCAATTATATGCATGACTGAACAAAGTTTGCTGAACAACGGTAACAACCACCACAGAGACGATCAAATAGGGAATCAACATTTCCATGGTCTCTTTGACTTTGTTGTTTCTGTTTTGTTCTTTTATGATTTAAAAAAACAAATAGTAGTAGAAAATATTGATAGTTGAAATAAATGATTATTCATCACCAACTACTATCCATCCATCCATCCTTTCAATGCAAGCCATCAAATAAGATAAAATAAAACAAAAGTTTAACAGATAAACATTGAACTCCACTTACTCAAACACGCACACACACATGTTGTTTACACTTACAATTGTGGTGCTTTGTTTAGTTTTGATCAAAAGACAAAAACGAAATCATATGCGAATCAAACAGTGGAACGAAAATTCCAAAAGAAATGAGGGAAAAAAGCAACAACAAAAGAATCAAAGAAGCGCGCACACACACACACATAGAGAGAGAGAGAGAGAGTGAGTGATTGCATTTATTGGAGCAAGCAACACCATAAAGATGAACCAAAGTATCTTCTTGGTGATCTTTTGGTAAGCCCTCCTCCACACATACACACACACATGACAATTGACTAGTAAACACAACTACAATAATAATCATAATAATAATAATAATAATAATAAATTACCAAAGTTAAATATTTTTAACATGGAAGAAGAAGAAGAAAGAGTATATGCTCAATGTGTGTTGTATTCTCTCATGTGTTCATCATTGGATCAATTGGTATTTGTAGATTTTACAACAGACGAGAAGGTAGGGGATAAAAGCGAGAAGGGAAGAGAGAAGAAGATGAAACAAGTTCTCATTTCATCATCATTACATTCTAATAATTAAGGGAAAGAAAAAGAAATTTTCTGTTTTGTTTTGTGTTGTTCTTGTTCACTCATTAATAAAAAAAAACAAACGAGAATGTTTAGGGAGATCAATTTCATTGTGTTAAGACAACAACATTATAATTGATGAATGAATAACACAACACATGGACCAAAGTAAATTGTTCTGTGCTAATATACTGTGATTGACTATCAAATCTATTTTTGAAATCATGAATCGATCAATGTTAGACCACCATTAGAAACCTGAAAGCACTGATAGACGGCCGTTTCGTCCTGGTATGGGACTCCTCGGCAGTGCGCATCCACGACTCCTGCACTCCGCAGGACGTGACCAGTGAAGTTCAACCTGTTCAGGTGTAGGCAGTGTCTACCGAAGACTGTGTATGAGGTTGCGCAACTCCGTGAATTTGATCAAGTTAGACATTAACACCGTTGGATACCGGATCAGTGGTCTAAGGGTTAGGGCGTTCGCGCACAATAACGAAAGTCCTGGGTTCGAATCCTTCGGGGTGCAGGAGTCGAGGATGCGCACCGCTGAAGAGTCCCATACCAGGACTTGACGGTCGTCCAGTGCTTCCAGGTTTCTAATGGTGGTCTACCATTGATTGATTCATGGTTTCAAAAATGTGTAACTCAACAATCTTCACAACCTCGTAATGCATATCAAATCTATGTTATGCAATATTTTCTTCAACTAGTGATTGACATTTTTCATACAGGCCTCGATCAATTAGTTTAGAAAGAGAGATATATATATCAACGTCACTCCAAAATAGAAATTAGTTGATAACTTCATGAATTTTACGAAAAAGGATGATGAGTTGTTTTAGTTTTTAGCTAATTTCAAGTATTCAGTAAATTCGACTGATAACTTTTCTTTGCTTTCGGACATTCCTTTTTAATGATACATTTCAGAGGTGGCTAGAGATTGCATATTATGATTGTTGCAGTTCAACCATCTCAGAAGACAGACACTATTGATTTTATTGAAGAATCGTTATGTATTGTTTTTCATAAACTAAAGCAGATGGTGAATAATAACTTATCCATTTCAATTTATTGTTTTGTTTTAAAAGATCTCCGGGTTATGAACTCAACCATTTGTGTTATCGTGCATGTATACTCATGTTTACTAACTATATACTTAGAAGAGCTGTTCAGCTCTTAATGCTATCACTGATGAACATGAATGAGTAATCATACTCAAGTGCGTTGGTATGGTAGCCATTGCTCGGTATCGAAAAGTGATTTTAGTTTGAGAGGATTTATGAGGAAAGCCCTGAAGAGAGTGTTGCAAACACAACTTCAGATATAATTTAAAACTTTCTATACTGTATTTCAGACTTCAATTGGCCTAAGTATAGATAAGACACTATTTTTGGACGTGTTTATCCATTTTGGTGAGGTTTTTGGATAAATACATTTCCCATTCAAATTTGTTTTGGTGTGAACTCTTTGCGTTGCAGTTAAACCTCTGCTACTCGTTGTCATCTACATCAATCGCTTCAAGTGCAAACTTGACATCATCTTGAACAGAGTGGAACATATACCATTTGAGTAATCTGTTTCGGAAAACATCTTGTGATTGAATGATTATTTCAAAGTTTTTTGTGGGGAATTTTGCAGTCTTCATTCGTCACATATTGGTCTCAGTTCGGATTCCTATAGGAACTAAAGTTGCTCCTCTACGTCGTCAACTCGGGACTTTATTGAGGATCGAGTCCATAACCTTCAGGTCTGGTGGCTGACACTTAACCGTTAGAAACAGTGAACTGAAGTCGAACTTCAGTCACTTTCCAACATAGCGCGAAGATCATCCAATGATATTAGTTACAAATATTCCACTCACGATTCGCCTGAATTCCACCAGTCAATTTACGACAAATACTGTCCACAAATTAAAATCTGTTCTGATAATAAGTTTGTAAACAACCAATTGATTAATTTGAAGACGTGTTTTACCTTTGTGGCTAGTTAAAAGATTGTGAATAACTCTTCGTGCAATGCCATAAGACTCTATCAGTGAAGGATCCCAAACTACCGTAAATTATCTAATCACTACTGATGCACATATGTCATGATCAGTGATTTTATATTGAATCATTGAGAAAGTTTTCTATTTATACAAAAAAGTTTGTAGATGGTAGATAGTGACAAAAAATAAACTCACAAAAACTTGACTAACATAAGTTCTAGTTTTAGAGACCTTCCGTTATTTCATTTTATCAAATCACTCGATCACAGCAGTGTGGTATAGAAACGGGCATAAAACTACCACAATGACTTGACAGCTAGTTTCTAGTCAATTAGAAGACATCTTTTATAAATGAATAGTTTATGGGAAGTGAAACAAATATTACTATTTATGACCATTTTGAAAATGATGAAAAAGTTTATGCCAGGTAATGACTATCTTCTATGCTTCTTCACACAATGCTAACATTCGTCGGAATTTCAATAAATCAAATCAAGTCAATATTTCAAAAGTTTTATATTGTCCACCAAATTTCAAACCCACATCATGATGATCATCACTGTATTATTTATTCATTTGTCAGTATCTCAACATATCACTTGCAAATTATTATCGTTTTATTGCGTCATAATTTATGTGTCTCGTTTGACGCTGAATAATTTTAAGTGAACTATGAAATCAACACAAATAAAATCGACAGGGAATTAAATTTTTGACAGATACATTGTCGCCTAAGTTTAGTGTACTCATGATTGATTGGCCTTTTAAGAAAGAAATCATATCTAAACACGTGTCAATGGACTAAATTAATATTCAAGTCACGTGTTGTTTCATAACTCGAGAATGATGAAGTGTGATTAAATTCATTTGTCACGAACGATCATGTAGAATATTGTTAAGCAATGAATGTATTCGAAAAATTATAATTGTTTCGTAAATAGTTTTCGTCAGTTTTACTGATGAAAACTATTGACTACTTAGAAGAAATTGACCTGAAGGATGATTACATTTAAACTGCTTGTATTTGTTATTTAATAGAATATGATGTATTTAAGAAATTGTGAATTCTAGATGCATTCATTATGGAACTGTTAAATTAACTGACTAGTTGTTTTATAACAACTAATCTACTCATTGAATAAACTAGTTCTTAACAACATACAATGATAAAAACAACAAAAGTTATTTTTTTTTGAGTTAGAGCTTTGGAGATTTGTGTTTTTACACACTTGAAATCACCAATCAATCAATCATTGTTAGACCACCATTAGAAACTTGGAAGCACTGAAAGACGGTCGTTTCGTCGTCGTATGGAACTCATTAAGCAGTGCGTATCCACGACTCCTGCACTTCGCAGGATTCGAACCCGGGACCTTCGGTCTTGTGTGCGAAAGCCTAACTTCTGGACCACTGGGCTGGCATTCAACCGTGTGAATGTCTAACTCTGATTGATCTGCGGATTTTGCGCGACCTCACCCAATTCTCTTCGGTAGTTACTGCGTACACTCGACAGGGTTGAACTGCATTGGTCACGACAAATGGGTGAGGTCGCGCAAAATCCGTAGATCAGTCAGAGTTAGACAATAACACCGCTGGATGCCGGCCCAGTGGTCCAATGGTAAGGCGTTCGCACACCATACAGAAGGTGCTGGGTTCGATTCCTGCGAAGTGCAGGAGTTGTGGATGCGCACTGCTGATGAGTCCCATACCAGGACGAAACAGCCGTCCAGTGCTTCCAGGTTTCTAATGGTGGTCTAACAATGACTAACCGATTGATGATTCCAAATGTGCAAAGACAATCATTTCCTTTCTTCAGCATGAAATAAAATTCGAGAGCGAATTGAACTGATGCAAGTAATAATTAAATCATCCAGTTAAAATCTATGATTAAAAAATGTTTGTTAAAATGTTGAACATTTTTAGAGAAAAAAAACTTTATTTGTAAAATTTAAAGAAAATCACTCGAGAGATTATTTTTAAATTCACTAATCAATGGGAGTGAGCCTGAGGAAAGAATTGTTCATCATGATAACAAATACTGGCAACTTAAATTGTATATGATCATAGCGAGTGTAAGGTCACAATGAATGCACTTTTCAACACAGTTTATCATCTTAAAAACTTTGCTTCGTCGCTGTCAGTGGTGATGAAAAGAAACTTTTATCGATTTTACGTAGGATAAAATTCATATTCAGTTGACCGATCTATTTGATTTCATTATTATTTCACTGATTACTAGTCATAACTATTCAAACTACTAATCACAGTTTAAATGCCAGATAGAATTTAAAGAGTGAGTTTGAACGAAGAAATGTATATCGACCATAACTAAAAATAATAAACTTGCTCCCTTTAAGTACCTTGTGACTGAGAAGAATTTTTCTTTATTAAAAAAACACAATTGTTGATAAATGTTCATTAATATTCATTGATTTTTACCACATAACAAAACACAGTTGATGACTCAATACGATCGATCAGTCATAATGCAAGAGAGTTGAGAAATTTCTATTTCGTGCACTGGTTAGTGACCCGAAATACTGATCCTTAATAGAATGAATTATCATTAATATTGATCAGTAAATCTGGCTTTGAGATCGCTAATCATTGTAATGAATGTGCTAGTAAGGCCTTATGGCTGAATATATTAGAATTTGAGTTATACTGTGTGAAATAGTGATACTGTTTGATTGCTCAAACTTAATCAAATGAAGAAAAGGGCTAGATATTAGAATTTATCAATCGAAAATGGAAAGATTTGACCATTCTCTTATAGTTGCATATTGATTGTTGAGTGTGTAATGTTGGAACTTATCAGTTGATTAGATAATATAAATGATGAGAAATTGAGTGATTGGCAAGTAATCATTGACTTATATATATATATATATATATATATATATATATATATATATCTTCTGGTGGTTGACTGGATTATGAAAATCTCAACGTCTTAGGGGAACTATATACCGTCTAAATGCAGCAAGATGATTTGGATTTCGCAAAGGACCTGGCTCTTTGATCCCATACATAGCAACAGATGCAGCTAGTGGTGCCCAGTGAGTCTAACAGTAGTAATAGTTTAATATGTAAACTGTAACTCCTGTTTGCCTTGATGTATAATAGTGGTTAGCATAACTGACGGATAATTTCAGACGTTTGTAGAAGCTTCCTACGTGACTACAGGGAGCCAGTGAGAGAGAGAGAGGGAGAGAGGGAAAGTAACCTCCATTCCGTTTCTGTATATTTGTTCATCGTCTAATTGTTTCATTGGAAAAAATAAACTAATAAAAAGTGAAACTCAATTCCGTTTTGTTTTTCTGGTCAAATCTATCACACCTGATAGTGTATTCGGATTCGAATGATCTTCAAATATCTTAACTAGTATGAAATGTTATGCGATCATCAGTTAACTTTAATGTTTCATTGAATATATAAACTTGAAAAGAAGTACATACTTACTTATCTTGTCATCATTTCATTCAGTTTAATACAACAAAATGAAACAAACTATGTAAGTCAATAATGAAAACATAATCAAATCAACATATAATAGCTCAATCCAATTATTTTTTTTACCTGAGTTTGTGTTAATCCCAATGATGCAGCTAATTCTGCTCTTTCAGGTAAACTTAAATATTGTGTTAAATGAAATCGTTTAGCCAATTGTTGTAATTGCATACTTGAATAAATTGTACGTGGTTTACGTAGTTTCTTATTTTTCTCATGATTAATTATTCGTGTACAATTCAGCGTTGTCGTTGTCGTTACTGGCGCTGACGATGTGGATGTTGTTGATGTTGTCGCAGTAGCTGTTCGGATAATTCCCGAGGTTGTTGATACAATCGATGATGATATCATGGTTGCTGTCGACAGTGACGATGTTGACGATGATGATATGAGTGGAACTGTTGTCATTGTAGTTGAAGAATATCCTCCAGTAAATGGAAAAGTTGAATCATGAACAAATTGTCTTGACTGGGTGTAATTCAAGAATTCATTCATATTATTCATCATTAACGCATCATTGTTATTACAGTCTACAAACATTCGATCCATCAATCCAACTTCAAGCATTTGTGGTTTATTGTAATTTTTATCCATTGTAAATGTAGTAGGAAATGTATTGTTTGTCAGCTGGACAAGATCATTATTATTATTATTCGTCTTCTTTTTCTCCTCCTCTAATTCATATAAGGTATGATTGAAATTCAATTGATCATTTGTCCTATTTTCATTGATATAACAAGTTTGATCAATATCATTGTCACTTTCATCATTGTCCTCTTCATGATCATCGTTATGAACACTTTCTAATGAACTTGTTTTTGATTTAGTTAAAATTTTGTGCATATAATCATTCTTCCAATTCGTTTTTGGTTGTTCTATTGAAACATGATTATTATTATTATTTATAAAACATTTATTTGCTTGTAAATAAGCGGTTAGTGAATGATTGAAACCAGTGTTTCGATAATACTCATTACTACTGATGATATTAGTCTGGGAATGGCAGTTCTCATTGAATTGCGTCAAATTGGAATGTTTTTGAGCGTAATGATCATCATCATTGAGTGTTGAATATAAATTCATATATAAATATTTTTCACAATTCATATCAGTCACTATGTCAGAATGAAATCTGTTATCAACACAATTTACACGGTTGTCATCTTCTCCAGGTTGGTGAATTTTACTAACTACAGTCAAACATGACGATGATGAAGATGATAATGAAGATGATGATGATGTGGAACATTCTGATGATGAATTTGAAAATGACGAATTTGACGAAGTGTAACCTGATGAATCAGTGATATAATGATTTAGATAGCATGAAGTATGATTAGAGAATACTGCTGATTGATTATCTGACATAAATGATGATTGTTCACATTTATTTTGTGAATGATCACCATAATTATTATTATCATTGATTATTTGATGACTGCTGGTGTTGGACCAATCAATCATTTTGGACTTTTCTGACTGCCTTAAAGTTGATTGAATTAAATGGGGGTCTTTCATGATTCGATTGTCAGTAGCCTCATGATAATGAGTGCGATCAAATGAGTCATTTAGTTTTCTGTTCTGCGCTGTTTCTTCTAGTAAATTGATTTTTTTCTCATCCAATTCAGTCAATTCGTTGTTGGAGTTATTTGAAATCTCACCGTGATATTGATCAAACTTATTTCCTATGGAATAATCAAAGTTATTAAATTTTATGAATAGTTCAGTTTAAAAAAAATAAACATTTTTTTGATAATTTCAAACTTTTTAAACCATGGAGGGAAAAAATGGAGGAAACGTACATAATAAGGAACGAGATGGAACGATAACGTTGATCAAATCATGATCTGATGTCAGAGAGAGACATCGATGAATATTTGTGGCCAATGATTTGTACAAGTTCAAATCTTTCGCCCTTCACGTTGGTGAATTGTCAATTGAAACAAAATCTAGATCATACAAGACTATGATTTATCCCATCAATCAGCAAACATTAAACGTTTATCATAGCTTATCTAACTATTAAAAATGATTTTCAAATAAGGCCTTTATTTATCTCATCCGATTTATGTGTGTTCAAAGTTTAGCTAATTTAAGGATGTATCATAAACCAAAAAACACTCCTCGGATGGAGATAATGATGAGATATAATAAGAAAACTACAATGTAATTCGTTCCCAATTATACACCAGTAACTGAAATCTAACTTTACATAGAAATGAAATTAATTTCTTGAGTGGGAATGTTGATTTTGTGTATTCTTGTTTAAACAGTTGATAACCAAAGTATGTTATTGAGTCATTCCTATGCAACATAGAAGTTGAAATACCACCCTTAACACAACTAGATGTAATCATATAAGTTAATTTCTGAATTATTTAATTAATAACAGTATTAATATTTTTAGAAAAAAAAGCCGTAAATAAATCAAAAGCAGAGTTTGAAGAGACTTAAAGACTGCAGATCAAACGAAAGACAAAGAAAGAATGTATCTATGCGATTGGAAACGATTCTGAGTTATGTCAACCAACATCACTAACAACTATTTAGAATAATCATGCTGACCTCAACCAAACAATCTGCACATATTTGTATGTTTCAGTGAATTTTTTAAAAATAGTTCCATGGATTACTGTTGCGTTTTGGCTTAACTACATTTAGCTTTCTTCTAACCTACTGCTACACCAGCCATCATCACATGTCGAAGTAAGTATAGATTCGACACATGTAACATACGTCTTTATATGTCAACATATGTCAACACCCTACACCTAACCTTGACATTTCTAACTCGATGGCACCAAAATATACAAGCAACACTTTAAATCCCCGTGCGATTGCGGAACATCATCAACACACTAAGGTGCAAATACTTCTATCTGATGAGTCTTAGATGGAACAAACTGAATCTCACTGCTAAACAAAATCACCATCCATATGTACTGATATTTACTATATTATAAATATAATATTTGGCCATTTCATTTAATATGCATATAGGTCAAAACAGAAACACTATTCTACTGCAGATCTGAATATTAACAACAGATTTCCTACTCGATATACACGTTGACACAATAAAAACAAAGACTTGAGTATTGATAACATTTAACCGAGATGGAAAGCACTTGTTCGCGCTGAAACACAGTCAAGTAAAATAATAATCATAATACTCATAATAATAATCAATACACAATCTTACCATTTGTTTTATTGATTAATGTACTCTCATCAGCTTCATCACACTTATTAGACAATTCCATATTTTTGTTGTGTTTGCCAAGATTATTATTCCAGTGGGAGTTTGTTTTCATTTGTGTTTGAAGCTCATATTCCATGTAATTCAATAATTTATCAGGATTTTTATTTTCAACGTCATTGTTAATTTTAGAAGCATGAATACTCGATTCCTCATCATCACCCTTATTATCCCCAAAATTCATTGTAGTCTGTGTAATATTACTCGCATTAGGCTGAATAGATTTTCCAGTTTGATGATTCATAGATTGATCGATTCCTGGATATTTGTTCATGGTGTTATTTACTCCTTCATCATCATCCTCATCGTCGTCATGATACGACGGATGGAGATGATATGGAATACTTGAATTTTCACTGGTCAATGCATTATTGTCCATTGTCCAAGTACAGTCAGTATTATTTTTATGCTCATTATGATTAATATGATTAGTGTTCGAGATTGTTTTCATTGCATAATTTGACCAGTTCAATGATTTATTGATTACATTCAATGTTTCTGTGTTCATTTTTAATCAGTTCAATTAAAAAGCATGAAACAGTTTCATCAAGTGATAGATTAATGTTAAAGTAAATAGATATATCTATATGTATATACACGGTGTGTATTTGTGTCTACTTATATGACGAGCTCAATAATAAGCAATGTTCACAACAATGTTCAACTATAGAAAAAACATTGAAATTGGAAATTGAACAAAAAAACAGTGGGAAATTTGAATAAAATGAGTCCAACTATATATTAAATATTGAATTAATGAATACATTAAAAATAATTTTGATTATAGGGTTTTATTAAATTTTACGTAGAATATGCGAGCCAAAAACAAACTATGATTATTATTATTATTATTCAGAATGATAATTAACTGAGTATTTGATTGAAAAATTGTTAAACAAATGTGAACTACAATATCACTTGATTTAAATAAATGTATATAATTCAGTGTAGATCGTTACATACACGTGTACGTGCATTTATCTACTATTACTATGAATTGGGGGAAGATAAATATCCACTCATATCTGACAATCTGATTATCTACCTCTATCGACAAATCGACCTGAAAAATGTTTCTATGCATACGTGCATTCAGTTCTACAGGTTTCGATGCACAAGCGTATCAGTTTCTCATTCATCCCTTAAAGAATAAATGGGACAAATGATAGCTTTCTAGTCTTTCTCTTTTATTCTATGAGGAAAATTCCCTTTTGACCAATCTCCTTTGTATTTTTCATAGTTTCTTTTTATCTTTTCATGAATTCATTCACTATGCATTGTAGTGATTGGTTAGAATGATTTTCGGATTAAAAATATATTGATGATATTTGTAGAAAATTATTGTGTTCATTACAGTCAGTATAAGCAAATCACTACTATACTAACAATAAATACAATTATGTCCTTCATAAATTATCCTAAAACTTTTCAACCAATAGGATTTTTATTTAAAAACAACCAATCAGATTCTAGTAATTAGTCAGTCGAATATCTTGAACATTGTATACTACTCATTAAAAAATAACCAGTAATAACATTTTTATTTTCAGGAGAAAAAAAGATAGGATTTTGAGAAAAATCAAAAGGTTGGATACATCCATCGATCATTGATCAAGGTTGTTCACCTATTTATTAAGTTACCACAGTTTTAGGAGTCGAATAACTATGTGCCCGGAAAATCTCGTTTACTCGGTATTAATCTGTAAGCACCGGACGGCCGTCAAAACCTGGTGTTAATGTCTAACTTGATCAAATTGACGGAGTTGCGCAACCTCATACACAGCCTTCGGTAGACACTGCCTACACCCGAACAGGTTGAACTTCACTGGTCACGTCTTCCCACTAGAACTCGGAGAAGACTCCTCACGAAGCTGGTCACGAATGAGCACAGGTAATTTGCATTACGGGGTTGTGAAGATTGTTAAGTTACACATTTCTGAAGATTCTGGGCTCGAATCCTGCGGGGTGCAGGAGTCGTGGATGCGCACTGCTGAGGAGTCCCATACTAGGACCAAACGGCCGTCCAGTGCTTCCAGGTTTCTAATGGTGGTCTAACGTTGATCGATTCATGGTTTCAAAAATGTGTAACTTAACAATCTTCACAACCCCGTAATACTTGATTATCTGTCATGTCAGATGAAAATATTAAATCAACAAGAATTACTGATATAATATGTTTTATATGGTTGACACTCATAACCACACCTGGTCGAATGCATTTTAAAATATAAAATTTATTATTGACGAGAAATTACAAACTTCCAATAGTACAACCATACCTGGTAGCTAAGTTAGTAGCCATTTGGATTCAGTACTCAGTTGAATAAAGCGTTAGATTTGCTGTTTATTGTGAAACACTACTAATGAATACAATATCTATCTACCTAGTTGAGAATTGATCGAAATGTTTTGTTTTATAGATCTCTATCTATTAGTTCCACAACATATGTCACCGTATATTTCTTTACGGAAGAAATATGAATGTCTCCTTAATACTGGTCAATGTTGTTTGATGAGATGTGTTGTGCTGTGCTACTTATACGAAAGATATAAGTAGTATAAGAAGGGACGTGAAAGAAGAAGTCGCACGGTCAGAAGAGGAAAACGGAAGGCAAATGGAGCAAAAACAAGAAGTAAATGGAGTACCAACAGGAAGTAAAGGAATCAACAAACGGAATGGAAGAAGGAAGGAGCGTTGGAAGTCATAACTCAAAGATGGTGTGCAAATAAAGTGTTCAATGTAATGTTTTCGTTTTTAATTGACTCAGAGTGTAAAGTTGCTTAATACAATCTTCCTCGCCTGCCTCATTCTTCTCAGTGTGAAAAAAAATCGCATGAAATCATAGATTTTACAGCCTACTTGTTGACCATTCAATGTTAGTTTTTCTGAATAAATAATACAAAGATAATAAATGCTATTGCGCCTCACACTTGTTAGCATTTCCTTTGAATATTGTTTAATATCACCAGAGTACCATCATGAATTAATTTCCCGAATTTGATATTGTTTGCAACATAAGTGTGAGTAATAATTTTTCTAATTTAGTACAAACCATAACACGATAAGCTTTGAAGTTGTGAACTATTGGGTTGAACTAACCACACAAATAGTACTGAATTGACTTTCTTTTCAATAACATTGTTTGAAGTCAGGTAGGAAAGTGTTTATAGGCCAGATAACATTTCTCAGCTATTTCCTCATAGCTTAATCATTCCTACTGAAATTAAGCACTCTGTAATCAGTGTAGTTAAATCTATGTCTATTGTGAGACAATTATTCAGTGTAAGCAGTGGATGAGGGTTAAGCGATATCGTGAATTGATAGAATTTAGATATTAACACTATCGGATTCTGGCGCATTGGAGTAAGCTTTTAGAGTTCGTGTACAAGTCCGAAATTTCTGAGTTTGACTGCCAGATTCAGGGTTGCAGATGCGAACAGATGAGGAGTCTGCCATCTAATGTTTCCAGTTTTCCACTGGTTGTCTAATAAGATTAATTCATGATATAAACTATGGAAATTCTAATGTCTTCCCAAACACCCTATACTGTAGTGAACGAGAACACAGGTGAGGGCAACCAAATTGTATTTAACGAAAATTACAGAGTTACTCAGTAAAATTTGAAAACCATATTGTAAATCGTTAATTTGCAAAATATCAGTCCATCATATCGAACTGGACTGTTCCTGTTGTAAAACATCAATTCATTGTCACTATTCATGCGTTTCATACAAATTCCATTGTTTTCTAACTCTTCCTTTCTTGATCTTCCCCCATCTTCTGCTGACAGACATTACGTTGACACTCACGTCATATACATATAAACATCCAACTCAGAGAACCAAATACCATCACAAAAATTGTTTTCATATTCAATAATGAGAAGTGTGTTATTTTGAAATCAAAAATTTAGGTGTGTCAGCGAAACACTATAATATTAATAACGTATAGAGTTATCTGATATGTTTAGAATCAATATATGGTTAATATGAAATCAGAGAAACAGTGACTTGATTACAAATTGTACTAACCAATTAGCCATTGATTAATATGAGATGAAGAAAATCGGTATATATATATATATATATATATATATATATATATATATATATATATGGGGAAAGAGTATTCGAAGCAATATGTGTCAAAAAAGAGGAGAATAAAACAAGGTATGAATCAACAGTTCAGTCATCATCTAAGATGATCATCTATGAATACAGTTGAAAATTGTCAAATGAAGAAATGGTTTAACAGTCAGAAATCAACCGTATAAAGAAGATAGATAGTGTTAGACTGATTTTAAGAACAACTCAGTTATATACTCTAAATTTATTAACACAACCTGACATAGTACCAATCATTCGTGTTGATAATCTAAATGATATTTAATTTTTATGTATCTATCTTTTCACTGCAGTGATTGAATAATGAAAATTTCCAGTTTTGCCGGAATTAGCTGACCAATTTAGAGAATATAAAGTTGGTTGATAGATTAAGAAATTAAAATGTTACAATCATGTAATTATTTTTAACAAAGATAATAAAGATTTTCTAATTTGAACTATTGAGAAAATCACTTAAATACACAAGCATAAACTCATAAGGGCCTGTTTTCATTGACTCCAGGTTTTCACTGGTGATCCAAGGTCGATCGACTGATGCTTCTTATGTGTAGCTCTACAATCTCCACAACCCAATACTGATAAATAAATCACTGAACAGGTAAGAAAGAAAAAAAATATATTCTTACATTTTGTTCTTACACATTACCAACAAATTTTCAGCCACAATATCAACCTGTTAATTTGTTATTACTATGACTGTTCTTATCATTATATTATCATTACTACTACTACTACTACTACTACTACTACTACTACTACTACTACTACTACTACTACTACTTTGGTGCGAGCTACTTATAAGTAGTATATGACGTGAGCGTCAACGTAATATCTGGCAGCAGAAGATGGGGAAAGATCAAGAAAGGAAGAGTTAGAAAACAATGGAATTTGTATGAAACGCATGAATAGTGAAATGTCAGACAATGGATTGATGATGGATTGAAGATTTGCAAATTAACCGTTTACGATATGGTTTTCCTATTTTACTGAGTAACTCTGTAATTTTCGTTAAATAAGACTCGGTTGCCCCACCTGTGTTCTTTTTCACTACACTACTACTAACTACTCCGACTACTACCACTTCCAGTAGTCGACTAGTCGACTTTACTTACAGAAAGCTAATACTACAAATCTCAATCCTATTGTGGCTTTTCCCATCTCATTTTTCACTGGTTACATTTGTAAATACGCAATACAATCATTCAATATTCATATTTCTTTGAAGTGTCATAAACATGTTGTTCTATAAGACAATGTTTGACTTGTTGTGTGTGTCTAAGTGTTGTATAGAATATTCGTTCAATTATCGCTTACATACATAATTCTTAAATCCCTCTTTCTATTTCTTTCTCATTCAAAACTCTTCTATCATAAAGGTAAAAG